TGATAGTTCAATAATCACTATTTCTTAAAAAGCATCGAAAGTAACGAAACGAAACCGGAAGTCGCATGGCCAATTTTAGATCTCGATACCACGAAAAAGATAAGACTCTAATTATTATTTACTCAAATGAAAACAAATTGATTAGCTTTCGTTTCGTTTCTTCTACTCGGATTGCTGATTCTACAATTTTTCATTTCTTGCTAGTGTTGGCTATTCGTCGCTGAGAAGCTATTCAGTTATTCTGCATGGCTAGTACCGATTGCTTGCTTTTCTGTTCGAAGTTCTTGATGTTTACTACTAAAAATTATCCATCAAAATCAAGAGATCATAATCTCTTTATCAAAGCTAAGGTTTGTCCATGATGCGCAGCATCCGTTCAACCCAAAGATTGCGGGAGCAGGGTAAGGGACTTTCCCTCGAAAAAAATTACCCAATTGTTGACTTCCGCTCGGGTTCCCCATATTTTTCGGTAGTCGTAATGGCAGCGTCTGAGACAAAACTACATGGAATCGAAAGCCAGCGTTTGATAGTTTTAGCCACCAATGACGCAATAAAAGCTCAAAATGCTTTTTTTTTTTTCGAATTTCATGATATGATTTCCACCATTACATTTAGTGATATTGTTTCATCACTTGTGTTTTCAAGTTTCCAACGCCATGCGAAATATTCACGGAAGTCTTTACAGGAATTGAAGTTTAAATCACATCATCATATTGATTCCTTTTTCTCAGCATGTCTTCACTCAGTCTTCTGGATGTGGCCGTAGAAGAACGGAAGGAGGAATTGGGCGAGAAGGCTGTGACTTTCGTTTTTAAAAAGGAAGACCATGCGAAGATTCTTCTAGACAACCTTCGCGACATGCAGGCAGGAAATGAGGGAATCTTAACTGACGTGAACCTCATTTCCAGAAGAAAAGACTCCGAAGAAAAGTTTCATTCTGTGCTCCTAGCAGCAAGCAGCCCAAATGTTAAAGATCTTCTTATGGCAAGGAGTGTCAAAGATTCCGCAAGGGCCATTTTGCTTGACGGATTGACTAAAGAAACTCTCAGGTGTCTTAGAAAATTCATCTATAAATGTGAGTTTACGATAGATGAGGACACTCTACAAGACCTTCACAACTTTGCCGTTCAATTTGAAATTGATGCACTCGCAGCTAAGTGTGAAGAATTACAGGATCATCAGGGAAGGATAAAAGTGGTACCTGACGATCACGGAGATGTGCTTTTGGAGCTATTGAATATGTTCTTCGAGAAAGAACTAACCACAACAACCATAGAAGACTATCAGGGAAAGATCCAGTTGGCTGTGCATGGCCCCCTCGTCGCGGCTGCGTCACCGGCCCTTCAAGATATCATTTTGCAAGGTTGTACTTCTCAAAGAAGGCACCCCATTCGTCTGGGCATCCACGCTAATGTTCTTCGTGATTTCATTGGTTACCTCTACTCGGCGAAAGTGACTCTGCAGCGCGAAAATGCTGTTGGTCTTCTCAGAGCCGCGTGTACTTATCAAATACCAGCACTTTCTCAAGTCTGTTGTGAATGGCTGATTGCCAAACTGGACACCTATGATGTGGTGGGTATCCTGTGCTTGGTTCGCGAATTAGATTCTGAGCACACTGCAGATCTGGAAAGAAGAACAAAGAAAATTATCATCACCAATTTCAGTTCGTTAAGTGCTGAACACGGAATCAATGCTCTTGGCCATGAAGACTTGATGGAAATCATCCAGGATGAGGAACTTGAAATTGAAGATGAAGAACATGTCCTTCACGTTGTCATGAAATGGTTGGAGTTTGACGAAAAGAATCGTCTTCCTCACCTGAGCAGGTTGCTGGCTTGTGTCCGCTTGGAACAGACAAGCCTTGACTTCTTGGACACCATCCAGCAGGATCCAAGAATCGGACGCTCTCCTGAATGCCTTGAGGTAATCGAGGAGGCCCGACATAGGCTAGCTGACCAAGGCCACTCCATGTCTCACTCCAGTAGTCACGATGATGAAGGTTTCCAGGGGAGCGAAGAATCATATGATGGCGACTCCTGGCACGAGGATCCGCGAGAAGAACTCGAAGGCTTGTCAACCGCATCTTATAATGGAGAAGACTTTGAGGATAGTAACTTGCGCGAAAGTGACCATATTGACGACTGTTATAGCTGTTACACAGGTGACAGCTATAGCAGTAGCCCACGCGAAGATGAACATGACGACAGTTACTTGCGTGACCGATATTTACGTGATAGCTACGTGCACGACAAGTCTCCGCCTCGGTGTCGCCTGCGTGACAGCAGCCCACCAGATAGTTACTCGCATGGTTACTCACAGCGTGGTCATATCAGCTCCAACCCGTCTGACGACGAAGAGGCGAGCTGCTTGTCGGGCCCGAAAAGGAAGGATGGCCAGCCAGACATGCGCTTTAAGGTGAATCGAAGGATTTTCTGTAAAAGTGGAAATAACAAAGATGATTCCCGGGACTTGAGGCTGAGGGAACATAGGAGAGAGTTTCCTGGTCCGGTTAAGAAGAATGGAGAACCTGATATGCGATATAAGGTAAATAAGGAATTATTTGGAGCGTTGAGGAAAACGTCAGCATCAATTTCAACCAACGTACCAGCAAAGGTTCACCCAGTGAAGAAGGATGGTACGCGTGACATGCGGTACAGAAACAACAGAACAGCACTCTGCGGCTCCTCCTATGTTTCAAGTTCCGCATGTTCTGTAGTTACTGGTACGCTTACCGGTGGAACAAAATCCTCTTTGGGGCCGTCCTTGGCTAAAGTTTATACCGCGGGACCTCTGAAGAAAAACGGCGCACCTGACATGCGCTATGCGGTAAACAAGCAGCGTTTTGGTAATCTCCCCGCCGCTACAACCAGCTCGCGAGGACCTCTTAAGAAAGATGGGAAACCGGACATGCGTTATGCAGCGAACAGACAGTCGCACCATCCTCCGCAATCTCGGTCCCAGGCGCAAGGTCCATTGAAAAAAGATGGAACCCCTGATATGAGATACAAGGCCAATAGGCGATGATACAGACACACTCACGTGTATGTTAGATTGCCATCTGTTATAATTGTTCCCAAGTACAGCTATACAAGTTTTTCATATGACAAACAATTAGCTTCGTTGTTTTTACAAACATTTTCAAATATCTATCCCTCGAAGGAAAGCCCACTCTTTTGTAAGATTATTATCGAAGTTTGTTGTAAGTGGCCACTTTGAATCGTAGCCAAAGTTTTATTGAAAAATTATAAAGAATAGGAAAAAAAGGAAACGATTCTTTATCTGGTTTTTAAGGTCGGAATAGTGAAGGAAAGAATTGCCACATCCAGTCTAGTTTCGACCTAATTTAGTTGCTCTAGATCAGAGGCCATTAACTTAAGTCTGTCACATTCTTAATGCATCTTTTGGTAGTGAAAAAATAAAGCTTAGAAAAGGATCGCTTATGATTGTTTGAAGTTTGGCGAAGCGCGAAGCGGACACGGATATGCATCAGCGCCAAATCGTCTTCGTGTTCCCAAACGAAGGAAAAAACAGAACTCCCAAGAGACCAGTCGACTGGCGCGGGGAGGATTGAGTGGGTGAGGGTCAATTTTATCACAACAACTACTTCCTCTTTCCATTCGTAAACAACCGGACGAGATGTCTGGTCATCAAAGGAGTTGACCGGACAAAACCTACATCTGACCTAGCATTGTCCATTGACCGGCCGTTATTTCAAGCCCTGTCAAGTTTAAGTTTAGGTTTAAAGAGGGATGTTTGCGGATTTAGCTCACGTTTGCGATATCTTTCCAGTTGTTGTGAAGTAAGTTGTCTATTTCAAGCGCTTGTGATGTACTCATACTAGTCTTCCACATTCCTTAATTTGCTATTTTCTTATCGTATGAAAATACTACCAATTTTAGTTTCCATCGTACTTTAATAACAGAAATACGTCATTTGTAATAAAGTTCAAGCCCTTTCCTAAGCTGACCGATATCTTGTAGCGTGAATAGTGCGAAACCTCTGGCGGATATTGGCATAAACACAAGCTCGAAAGGGCCGTGGATTCTCCTAACCTAGGTTTCCGAAAATCTAAAAACTCTTCCCTTGGTAAACCAAAAGTTAGCTTTTGGTTTATAACAGAACTCTACGGAACTCTAAAGCACTGACCATGGGGAACCATCGCCACACATAGTGCGAAGGAATATAAAGTTATGGCAACAGAAACGAACACAGCTACCCATTCTTAAGATAGATCTCGCAATAGAAAACAAAACAAAAACGGAACAAGCTACACATTCAGTAACGGGAATATTTTTTTCTAATCTTGACCTGAACACCGCAAGCGAGAAAACGCCTTTGTCAGTCTTCGCCGAAATCTTCGTTTGATGTTACGTGGTTCTCCTTCGTAGGGTTCGAACCTCACTCGCCATTTCCATTTATTCTCTGCTACTTAAGTACAATGTATCACAACTCTCGGTGGAGCTGGCTGAAGATAGGTATACATCGCTATCGGACATTATTTCAAGGGTATTTCAACGCTGACTGATACAAAATTACAAGAGATGTGAGAGATCTGTTTGTGACAACTGAAAGTTTTCACGCTTTTCTGGGTCATCACCCGCTAATTCGTTACCAGTCCACGGGACACTTTAAAGACAAAATAAGAGCACTTTAGTGCCCGAAAGAACCGAGCTTTATGTTTTTGAAATTTTCTTCTATCGGAATTGGCTTATACATATGATAAGCTAAATATTGACGCCAAAAAAAAGATTCGTGACATAGGCACTTTAAAGGGTTAAAGGGTTAACTTGTTTCGTTAGGCTTATATCTTCATCTCATTAAGTTTCTACGCGTGATTGTTTTACATCAAGTCATCTGACGGCTCTTCGTACAAACAACTGGCTAAAAAAAACCAGTGTCGTTTCACGTTAATTACCTTGGTAAATTTACCAGAGATTGTCCTAATAAGTTTTGTTGGCTCGCCTCCCAGCTTCACGCACCGCACAAAACACATCCAGATGTCCAGTCATTGCTTCACTCCCTTTTATTACATCATTAATGCTAAATGATAATGTCACACGACAACCAGCCAATAGTCCGTTCTACACTACAATTAGGACATAATTTGAAACTTCTGCAAGAAAACACCTCCACGGCATAAAATCGTATATGGCGATACATGAACCACTGCTTCAGGAACACTGTCTTCCTTTTGATGTTTAAACCATGCACTGGCCCACATTTTTGTTTGCTAATATAACAGAACTTTTCCGCTATCCCTAACCAAGTAACAACTCATCACTCTAAACATAATAACATGCACTGAAGAAACATTACATTAGTAATTCTCTTGAACACTGTGATCAGTTAATCTGTTGATGATAGCTTCAGTAATACCTAGCGAGCTGCTGGGGTATTGTCATTTTCCAGTTACATTAAACCGTGAGGTGTTTCGTTTCTTCAGAAATAAGGAACATACCACAATTACTGCAAATCTATGCCGGACTGACTAATTTAGCTAGAAGAGAAGAGTTCCTCGCAGAAAGTCTTGTAGTCGTAAGCTCCCGGAACTTCTCGGCCCTTGTCGTCAACGTAAGGATTCATACGATCAATACAGAAGTCGGCCTGCTCCTTGGTGAGAGACTGAAAACGAGAGGCAAAGAAATCAAGATCGAAAGCAGCAAGAGAGGCATTATCCAGTTATGTACTTTGTGGAAACTAACAGTAAACTTCAAGGACCGACATCACGACAACTCAAATACTTCTCTGGGACGTGAAAATCGTGAAACAAATACAAGCATTATATGATGGCTCTCTTAGGACGTCTAGTAAGTTTCAATCAAGTTACGTTTTCCTTCCCCTCTCATAAGTTTAAATTTGAGGTGTAGATGTTACCTGATAGAGCTCAGCCTCAGTAACATAGAGACGTTTTCCGCCCTCAGTGAGCGCCTTGAAGGCGTTGATGACTTCTTGACTAGAGCCGACATTTTCTGTTTCACGACTGATCATGAAGGCCATGTACTCTCCCATCGACACCACACCGTCACTACGTAGAATTGAAAGCGAGAGACAATCAGTCAGTGACACAAGAATAAACAGAGAGAAAGACAAAAATCTACGCCGTTCCAACTGAGAGCGTGGTGGCTTTACAACAAAGTTACGACATACTAGCGGTGGTATCAACACGAAAGCACAATTACCACTAATCTCTCTCTAAAAAAAGAATTTTGTCGTGTTATAGATTCTCATAGACTCAAAGTGTGAGCTTATCTGGTAAAGAGCTATTCGTTAATACTATCGAGCAGTGCTCTTCCTTATTCTTTCCGAAGTTTTGTCTGTAGCTGGAAACCGTGGGTGTGACCGAATCAATGAGCGGTAACCACCTGCCAAAGCAGGAAGTGAAGCCAAAGCAATTCAGTGTGGCCCAGGCCACTTACCCGTTGGGATCCACCGTTCTGAGGATGCTTTGGAACTCCGGATCTTCTTCGCCCTCTTCTACAATGGAGAGATCGTAGCCAAGAGAACGGAGGCATGACTTGAATTCTTGATGATCCAGGTAACCAGTCTTATCCTTGTCAAAGTGCCTGTTGAAGAGATTAGAGGGGAGCGATCAAGTGCTGAGTAAACACAATTCATGACTGAAGGACGAATGAAAAATTCAAATACGGACCGTGGTACAGCCTTACAGCTAACAAAAATGATAACTTTTCCAGAGCCATAAATATTAATGTTGATTTTAAGAGCCGAAAAAGTGACATTTCAAAACAAGAAGTCGAGTGTAATCTCGAGTTTCTAATGGCCTTCTCCTGAAGACAACACAGCTTTAAATGCAAAAAACTGGAATGAAAACCCCAAGAATTAAAGCGAACAACTTATTTGACGACCTACGAAATATTAACAGCTTTTTGTGGTGGAAGTGAAAAGAAACTTACTTGAACATGATAGTGAATTCTTTGAGTGTATCCTCGGAAACGCCAGTGGTATTGCGGGCCTGGATTTGCTGTTCAAGATTGTGTTTCATGCGCATGGCAAGTTGATCCAGCTGATCCCACTGCTGAGCAAGGTCCACTGTGCTGTGTTCGGTATACCTTGAGTAAAAATGAAACATGTGTTAACGCACGAGTATTAAAAGGAAAAAAACACGCGTCCAGCACATGAACACCACTAACAACATGCAATGTTACTTTATAGTACATTGAGTGCGAAGCTCTCTGGGCATGTATCTAAAAAGAACTCAACTAACTTGTTGTCCAGGATAAGAGCCTCTTCCATTTGAGCCCCAAGATCCTCCAGGATCCTAAGGTCCTCTTTCCTGTCTGCTATCTCAGCACTCTTCTTCTTGACCTCGGCCAGTTGATCTTCAAGGTCCCCTTGACCGTCAACCATTGCAACCCTAAGAAAAATGAAATATACAGTTTAATAAACGTTCATGGATTTTTTTAAGCTTTATTATCCACTGTTCTCCTGAGGCAAACTTGTTCATCGTACCTTGTATCAGAGAGCCAAGCGTGGAACGAGTTGGCAGCTTGTGCAAATTCCTGCCTGAGGTTGTCATTATACTCTTGACGCTGGGCTTCTTTGCGCAAATCATCCTCGCGTTCCTAAAAACAAAACGAAGATACATTACGTTGAATTCGTAGTCAATCTTTCATTTCATTTCCGAGGCAAGGTACTCCCATACAATCCAAAAGCCTCCTTTCAATTTATTCGGCATGGAAGACAGTTCCGAGTAGGATTTTCGCAATAGAAGAGGCTTGTGAAAAGAAAAACTGACAAGTAATAGGCATATTCTTTTGAAACACTTCACCTCCAAGGCTTGAAAGTTGTATAATAATTTAAACCCAGTCCAAGGAGAGAAACCAAATCAATTTCCAGCCATTTGTAAGAAATGTTCACGGAAGGATGATAGCATTTGCGACCTGTTGTATCTTAATAGAGAAAAAAAAGACGAAATAGAATCTACAAACCTCAATAATCTTCTGCAGATTTTCCCACGTGTCTTCCAATGCTTCCATAGTAAACCAAGTATAACTAAAAAGAACGAAAAGGCTCTTTCACCACCATCTTAAATGAATCAACAGGTTCTTTCAAGTCTATGGGCCACTTATTGAGCCTTAATGTATCCGTTGTTGAGCAAAACCGTGCCCTAAACGTCTCCATTTCAGCAGATTTATCTTCACGAATAGTGCCAAGAAGGCTTCTAGCATCACACGCCTCTTTTAACGCTGACGTGAATAGGTAATGTTACTGGCACGCTCTCTGTTTACTAAAAAAAAACTTCAAAGCAAAGCCATCACTTATGGTCTCAGACAGGATTTGCTCCAAAAATTACTCTCCTAACAGTTAAATATGAATGGGACATAACTTATGTCAGGTGTGAGAAGTAGGAACAAAATCTGTCAGATGTAGTTTTAAAATGAAGGTAAGCCAATGATCTTCACAATACATTAGAAAACTTACGGGTTGATGGAGACGTTATAGCTCTTGATCTGACGATCAAGCTTCCTCAACATCATGATGTCGTCTTCCGCTTGGTCCAGAGAAGCGCGGAACTGGGTGTGGCCATCTTGCAAAGCCTGAAATTTCGAAAGAATAATAGCTAAAAATTACATTTATGATTGGTATAAGCAACATACAATTGATTCTACTTAAGAAAGCGCCTGAATCAAAGTCATGAGTTTCGCCTCTCACGTCTCCGGTCAGATCACCCGCGCTTGCTGTTCTTAGTAGCAAGATTCGCGACAGGGAAGATGAAAAACAAACTTATTCCCGCCTGTTCAGTGAGGCTACTTACACGTATCTCCTCAACAGAGTTGCAGCGCACTGGATCGGTCAGATCTTCCTCCGCATTCTCGAACCAACTGTTAAAAGCAGAGGCTTTCTTGGCAAACAACAGGAACAAGTCCTCCACCTTAGACAAAAGAAAGACAGTAGCGTTCATTAGTGATGCACTCCTGAGCAACGTGGAAGGTAAGGCGACCGAAACTACAACTAAACAAGCAAAACGGAGGAAAAAAAACACACAAACAAGTAGTCACCTTCTTGTATTGATCCTGGGCATGTTGAAGTCGTTCTTTTCGAGTCTTGGAGTCTTCCAGCAGCTGCTCCCACCTGAGAGTGTAAAAGAAAGGAAATTTTACCTAACTGCTACAACAAGCTCCAATATTAACTAACGATATCGCTATAAAATAGACAACGAAGTCTACATTCATCCTGTGACTCTTTGTAAGAGAAGCAGAAACAAATTGTGGTAGCGCTAAAAGTTAATTAGATCTAAGAAAAATTGAGCAACGTTATAACGAAGAGAAGCTTTGCCGCTCTAAAACGGCTGGTAAGTCTTTTCTCAGAATGTCAATCAAACTTTCTATCATTCTTCTGTCATATATTGTTTTGACTTCATCGCCAGTGTAATACGCGGTTGCCCCTCATATGGCCATGAGGCTTGAAGTACCCACCTCCTAATAAGGTCATCATGACGTTTGATGATGGCAGGCGACTGCTCGTGTTGTGATTGGACAAGCTCGTCTTTCAGCGCAGTCACACGTGCAATGCCTTCGTTTTCAAATGCTTGGAGACCTGAGTCAAAGGTTTCCTGGTAAAAAGAAAAACAGCACAGAGGGAAAATTGTTTTATACGATGCCACCGAAGATTCATTGGTATTACCGACTAGCTAAAAACTCAACTCCGAAAGTCAAGGCCAACCAAAGGCAGACCTCAACAATTAACTTAAGTTGTCTTGTTTGAATGTCATCTTGCACTTTACCTGTTTGGTGAAAAGTGTTTGCACCGAAGACAAATCGCGCCCCAGATCATCTGACCGAGCAATTCCTTCCTTGTCACCTAAAACACACAAATGGAGCAGCTAAGTTTAAAACCAAAGCAATACACTCAAAGAGAAAATTGCAGCGATCAATCAGAGAAAAAAAGGAAAACAACAAAACCCAAAATTTAAACATACCAATCCAGGATTCCACTACATCGGCCTTCCAATTGAACTGCAGGAAAGCTGAGTTGTCATTGAGCTTGGACTTGCGATAGGACGCCATTCTCTCCAACTCGGTAAGTTTACTCTATATAAAGCAGAAACCGGACGAAGATGTTCAAAACTGACCAAAAGCCAATAACTCGTAGCGTCACTACAAGGTCCATGTATTAAATTAGGAAAATGGAGAAGCTCTACAAGTCTTGCTCGGGTTTTTTAATTCGAAAATTTTATTCTGAATTTGACTATTCGAGAGGTGATTTGGAGAGGAGCGTCGTGTTTGTGTGACCATTCAGCTGCATGACCAACTAGTAACAAAGAACTCAGTCAGTAGCCAATCAACAAGTGCAGGTCTTGGCTGATGGTGTCATTACCTTAATGGATGCAATCCTGTGGTCAATCAACTCAGATTGGTGGTTACCCTGTAGAGAGAAAAACTCACTGTCAGGTTGCATTTTAGAATTCTTAATAAGAACAAAAAGAGTAGGATACGGAAACGAAAGAGATAAATGATTCTAAATTCATTGAAGTTAACCTTTTCAATGAGCTTGTTGCCAGCATCTTCAATGTCCTGAACTCTTTCCCGATGAACCTCAAGATCTGTCTCGAATGCTTCGTGCTTCTTTAAAAGACCCTAGATAAGTACCAACATAAGATGAATCAGTTTTGTATAAGGGCATAGATGTAAAAATTATGAACATTGAAGGTTGAACTTATAAAACGTTAAGATCAGTATTCGCCCCCCTTTCTTTGGAGTGAAAGGGTTAAAATACTAACTTTGTTTGACCTCACAACTAACTTTAGAACATGCTATTAACCCCAAGTATCAGGAGGGACAATTAACGTACTTGAACTGCAGCCAGTGTATCACCATAGTCGTCACTTCCAACAAGAGTGTTCTTCTCATTGATCCACGATTCCTCTTCACCAACATTAGCGCTGAACTGTTGATATTCCAGAGACTCATCTAGCTTGTGCTGCCTAAAAAATAAAACCGCAGACATCGTTCAGAACAAGTCAGATTTATCACGGAGACTAAATAAATCCCCATACTGCACAAACTGTTACGCATGTAACTGAATACAAACAAACCTCTGCTCAGCCAGGTTTTTCAGTTCGTCCCAGTTTTCCTGCAGCTGATCACAGCGAGCTTTGATTTCATCAGAGCTACTGTGTCCTTCGTCAATAAATTTACGGCCACACAGTAGTACAGCCTGTAGAAACAAAAAGTTATTCGCAAGTGAACAAAACTTCTACTCGCATTTTCAACTTTTTAAAACTATATCGAAGGATATTGCAATTCTAGAGTTTCGATAGGCCCATCCACAATGGTATAAAAGCCAATATTTCATAGCTAAGCTGCAACGGACTCGTTCATCGCAAAGCGCCGAGTTGGCTATAGACTATCTATTATCTAACGCGCCCTAGTAAACTACCTGTTTATTACACTAACAGAAAGAAGTACGAATTTTTTTTCCTGACCTGAATTCTGGCCTCATGGGTGTTCAATTCAGCTTCCAAACGCTGATGTTTTTTACGTAGGTTTTGTACACCAGTCAAGTCCTTTCCATAATCTTCAGAGCTGGTCAATAGCTTTTTCTCCCTAATGAGATACACCGACAAAAATTTAGTTTCCACTTATGTTAAGACAGGCTCTTCACAAAGTGGCCACTTACTTTATCCAGGACTCTTCGTCGTCCACATCTCGGTAAAACTGGTGCAAAGCGTTGGACTCGTCCAACTTCTTATGGCGATCTGCGGCCATGTCTTTTACTCTGAGCAGAAAAAATACATCAATCGATGAAATAAAATAAAATAAAATAGATTACAAAGGTAAAATTAAAACAATACAATATTTAAATAATATTTATTCAAAACAGAGGAAAATATTTTGTTCATAAAGAAGACTAGAAAAACGCTTTCGCGAACGGCAAAAGGCACACAATGAACCACAGTTGTCCTCGTTTTTTCTTTCAGCCCTAAGCTAAATAAATTGAAAATGTATGTATCTGCATTTCATGTGAAAAGGAGACATTACACTAACCATTTTCTGCTTTTCGAAAACAGGACTGGAGGAGACGTGAATGAAATAAGAAATGAATTGGACTTTCCCATTTGCCGCAAACGTGGTTCGAAGTATCTAATAATAACGATAGCAGGGGTTTTCGGGTGCGAATAAATATTTGCAAAGGGTCGTGTTAGGGTCAAAGTGGTCGTGTAGCTCATCTCGTTTCACTTCCTAAATAAAAAATAATACTAACTAACGAAAACAAAATGTTGGTAAAATGTTAACTCACTTGTCGTAGCGTTCTGCAATAATGCGGGATTTGTCTTGCAGTGAGTCAGCATCAAAATGGCCAACCTCAGCGAAGTGCTGGGTTTGGGCTTGAAGATCAGTGATACGATCCTGAAAAAAAAAACCAATCATCACAGAATAAGTGCAAAATATATTTTTTTCTCATCTTCAAACCTCGAGAGCAAACATGCCTTAACCAGTAGTTAACTTCTGACAAACCTCGTGAGCAGCAATATCTGCTTCAACAAGTTGGTGCTTCTTGATCAGATTCTGAACACTGGCCAGATCTCGACCATGATCATCATGAGACAAGGAAGCTTCAACCTACAAGGGAACATTTCAAGGGAAATAATGAGAACAGCCCGAATGTTAACCACACTGTATTCCTGTGGGAATCAACCTGAACTTAGCTGGAGTTCTAGATATCCTTTACAACCTTTTATCTTCATATTACTCCCCAACAATTGACGCCAACAGAACAGGTAACATTTTGTTTAATAGCATTTTTCCGGGGAGCGAAAGTTAGGGCGAGGCGAACGCGAGAGGGGAGTCGCGCGCTCCTCCTCTTGTCATTTTCTCATGCTGCTCATTTTCTCATACTGTTCACACCTCTCGATTTCCGGTATGTTAACACACGATTTGATTTCCGGTGAGTCTATTCGTAAACTACTGTAGATGAATCGAGTCTGATTGTGTAGCTCTTGGGAATTTATCCCAAGCATGGCCTTGGGTTCAGTGTAACCTTATATCCCAAATACAAAGCAAAAACGCCGATTTTTGCCGTGTCCAGGTCGCAAATCGAGAGAAGATGACAATTTCAAAGACATATTTATGTGCGTGGCGTTCTCACCTCTCCCAGCCAGAAATCCAGTTCCTTAACATTTGTATTAAATTGCTGTTGTTGATTAGATTCCTTCAGATGTTGACTCTTCTCATTGGACTTCTGTACTAGGTATTCCCACTGCTGCTGAAGTTTGGTGATTCTCTCTTTCACAATCTCCTCACTTCCGGCACACTTGCGCTGCTCAATTAGACCTACGTGAACAAGAAACACGAACAATTTGACGATCACTTTCTCGAATTATAATCACGTGCTTGAATTAATACGTTAACTTCAAGCCATTTTGTTCTTTACTCTTTCAGTGCTGCTTACCTTCAGCTAGGTTGATGGTCTCCAAGACTCTCTCCTGATTGGCCGAGACTTCAGCTTCAAACGCCTGATGTTTTTGGAACTTGGACTGAAAATAAACAGTAGGCACAATTATCCTATTTGCAACAAACATGACACAATGACCCAGCTGGGACTTGACCCTGAACTGGCAAAAGAGTGAAAATTCTAAACTAAAGCACTAAGCTGGGAGGATAATCTGTAGAGCTTATATTCAGCCAACGAACGCTGCGACACGAGCGGCTGACCCGCGAGATTCGAGTCACGAGACCTCTCGGCGCGAGAGGTCTGTGACGGGTCGGTGTGGCACTCATTTCCGTACTTCTGCAGACCTTTCGCACGCCCACCTCGCTCGCCAGCTCGAATTCCGAAAGCTAGGTCACTCGTGTTGCAGCAGAAATGACAGCCTGTTCACAGGCTCATTAGTTGATGGCAGAAAAAATACCTGTAAGTTGGTTGGATCCTTATAAGATTCATCCAGCACTGTCTGTAACTTTTCACTGACCCATGCTTCAATGTCCTCAGCATCACGACTGAACTGCTGAATGGTTTTGGACTCACCCAGTTTTGATCGGCGTTCAACCAAGGCTGCCTTCAGAGTAGCCCATCTGAGACACAAAACAACAAAATTATACAAATTTGAAACTTGGGAAAAGTGTACTTTGATCGCCAGAGTGAAAAATCTTCCACAACGAAAGTCGTAAGTGAGGAAACTCAGTTACGCTCAGGAAGCAAAAACCAAATTTAAAATTTCCAAGCAAATTTCTTTGCAGAGGTATTCTTGAAATGAACTGGAAAAGAGCCTTTGTTTCATCGAACAATTAAAATAAGAAACAGAATTAAATATATCTCTGATTATATTAATCGGAAATGACGCGAAAACTGGCTGAAAAAATCTTTAAATAGTGTATTTCCACGTAAAGTAGTGGTTACACGTCAAGCTCTACATTCGAACAAAAAGATTGAGATTGTTATCCGTGTTTGAAGATAACTTTCAGGTCACCTTGCTAAGACTGCAGAAATCCTCTCTGCAATAGCTGGAGAGTCATAATGATTGTTATCAATCAGCCGATCGGCATTGTCTTTCAGAGCATTGATCTTCACGTCCTGCACTGCAAGTGTCTTTGTGAAGTCTTCATGTTTCTTGATCAGAGCTTCAGCACCCTCCGCTGCTTCTCCGACATCTTCGCTCTGAATGATGGCCTCACGTGTCGCCATCCACTGCTCCAGTTGTTCGGCATCTCGATTGAATAACTGTTAACATTAAAGCCGTACGTCAAATAATGCCATAAAGCCTTCAATTACAGAGCACTTTCCAACTGATTGTCGTAAAATCAGAGCCAAAGCAATCAAAATGACCAATCAGGGAAAAGGAAAATATCTCAGGGAACCAATAAGAACTCAGAACCTAAAAACGGCCATAAGCGCGGGAGAAAAACAAGTGACCGAGTCATGGTTGGTTTCAGCTTTGCATCTGATTGGCTGACTTAGGACGAATTGCAAAGCGCAGTGAAGCAAATCTAATTCAACGCTGGATCACTTTCGCCAATTAATTCAAACCCACTTCACTTTGGGACGACAAAATTTTTCATCGTGTTTGTGTTCATTGCCACACAGCAAAAAAAAGCTTAGATACAAAAAATTGGTTGGTTCTGGAAACCATCACAATATGAATGTTCACAAACCTGCAACTCCAAACATTCATCGAGTCTTTGCTTGCGAGAAGCCCAGGCCCTGAAAAGGAATTGATTTTCAATAATCACCGCATCTTAACTTTATAAAGGAGACAAAAAGGGAAGTACTGATGAAATGAAAATTCTGGCGTATGCGATCGCAAACTACCGGAAAACAACAGTGTGCAATGCGCCTTTGGTTCGACGAAACAGAGACATATAAATGAAAGTGTTTAGCAGATCCCAGCGCTATCATTCATCCATAAGGAATTGTTTTCACTTAAGAGATCAAATTCTTAAACTTAATGGCCTTACTTTTCCAGTTCTTCTCGTTCTGTAGCCATGGTCTCCAGTTTTTCACGGATGTCGGGACTAGCATAATGTTCTTTGTCCAATAATTTCTTGCCGAAATCTTCAAACGACTGGAACTCGCTGTCACGCGCATCAATTTCTGCGCGATGTTCCTGTAACAAAGCAAATCCCAACCATAAATTCAATTCATATGTCTATAAAATTTTGCACAGTTAAGAAATATAAAAGCAGAGTGACGTTTGCCTGTATATGTGTATTTTGTATGATTGGATTGCACCAGGAAAGACAACTTATTTTCTTTTTACATATTAAAGTATGGTCGACTTGATGCAAATACCTCGAAATAGGCTCAAAATATATTTCCTGTAAATGTTTCCAAGCTCGGAGTTAAAGTTGATCGTGTAGTCTGCTCGTACGGGTGATAATTACTTCCGCCAAGGTTGTCGAAACGTCAGTGAGCGCTACCAAAAACAGTCCTTCCCAGAACCATTCTGACCCGGACGAGCAGACTACACGACCTAAAGAATTTCTTGTCGCTCTAGAATTGGTTTATATGCAAAGAACGTTCACAGCTGATAATTAACAGCTCATTCGGTTGTCTAGTTCAAAAGACATCGCAGACTTGTATTGAAATATGAAAGTAATTTTCGATATTGAATACCTTTGCAGCGAAGAGAGCAATGTAGGGAAAAAGGAAGACAACGTTTAGGCCCTGAAGTCTGAGTGAAATCTCTGTAAAAGTATTCATTCTATACCTGATGCCTGTCCAACAGAGCTTCTGCACTGGCCACATCCTTTGCAAGTTCATCAGAAGTTACCAATGCCATAATACCATTGATCCATGAAGTAAGATCTCTGAAATATGAAAAGAAAAAAAATTACATGCTACCTAACAGAAACTTGTGTCTGGACCAAACACCTTACGCCGAATAAAAAATAAAAACAATTTGTTAGGATGTTCACCAAATGACAAGCCCATCACTTACCTGAATTCGTTGAGGAAATGGAAGTAATCTGACGAGTCACTCAGTTTGCCCCTTCTTGCAGCCGCCTAAAATTTTAGACGAATACAAAAAAATTGCTACCATCCCTTTCACTATTAAAAGACTGATTTACATATAACCTCACTTAAAAACCGAATGAAAACGCGAAGTGTAGCAATGAGAGTCAAATAAAGTTCCGTCAATTAAAAATATCTTGATAAAGTGACCTGGCATTCTTCCAAGTTTTCAAGAAATGGTCCGTTCAGGCTTAAAACGAGAATTTGAGGTCAGATCTGGACAGCGAAGGTATAAAGGATAACTTCAATTGGAGTTATAGAAGTTGGTGTACCTGTTCTCTGAGATTAGCCCACGCTTCTTCTAGCTCGTGTCTCTTCCATTCAATGTCTTGTGCTGCATTCGGATGACTGGATGTTAACTTAGCAGCTTCCACGTTGAGTTCACGAACCTGATGACGACAAAAAAATGTCATTTTTCAGTAACAGAGTGATATCAATCCAGATTTAAAACTTATATTCCATTCGACAGGGAATTTTCGCCGGTATATCCATTATAAAAGTAAGTGCTCTGGGAGACGAACTAGTTACCATACCTTCTCTTCCAATGCGGCCAAGTCTCTCTCCAAAACTTCATGCTTTCTCTGCAAGGCCTGGACACTAGCCAAATCCCGACCATAATCTGAGGTGGAAAGAGCAGTGTCTTTCTCTGAAATCCAAGCCTTGGTGTCATCAGCATCCCTGAATTATTTTGGGGAAAAAAATTGTTACGAAAGAATCTCTTAGCAAACTGGAAAAAATCTTCAGCCCACCTAAAGTTGTGCTGAGTTGTAGTGAACGAAGTGTTGAGAAACTTAATCATGACCACAAGAAATATCTTCCAAAATTAATTCTGACAAGAATGCCAAAGCAATTCTCTAGTTCTTTGACTTCTGATTGAATTGAGGTTCAAAGGTATTAAAAGAAAGTACATGTAATTGTATTTTGTATTGAGCTTTAAAAAGAAAATACATGTAATTGTATTTTATATTTCAACAATACCTGTGGAATTTCTGAATGTCCTGAGCATTATCCAAATTTTCCTTCCTCTGCTCTGACATGGTCTTAAGATTGGTCCATTTCTGGTTCAGCCTCTGTTAAAGGCCATTAAAAAATAGGATGAATTGTTTATTGACCCGAGCAATCCATACCAGTTAGCAGCTTACAACTACAAAGCCATAATGTTTTTATTCCAAAATTTACCACACGCTGCATTACAGAAACAAAGGGACAGACGTTATCAACTCTGATGAGTCACTTACAAGGATTTTTGTAGTAACCACAGTTACTGTATTCACCTGTAGTTAAAAAATATGCTTCACATTGTAACAATCGATGCGTATTAAAATTTCGTGGGTGATACAGTCAACTCTTCTCGCTTTTCAGACAAGGTCACACACAGTCTCTAGTGACACATATTCTAACGCAACTTCTCTTCATTAGATACAATTTGAAATGAAAGAAATTTCATTTGACTGCGGATTTAAAATCAAGTAGAGCAATAATTCTGGTATGTGGGCTACAATTTATGCAATTGTACAAAGGAATCCTGGAAAAACTCAAGCTTTGACGGGATTCGAACCCGTGCCACTCAATACTAGTTAAGCACTACGACCGACTAAACTTTAAGAGGGGTTTTTTCTGCGTGGAGGAATCATCTCAGAGAGAAAGCGTACAATGTTTCTTAGTTAAGACTTATAAATGGCATGAAGAAAGCCAAATATTAACAGAGAAGAGAGTGTGACGCTTAATACACTGTGCACTCTCTGTCGTCATATTTTCAGCAACGTATATCAGTCTGCTTGCGTTTGAAAACACACAACACAATTATTCATTCCTCACCTCAATCATCTCTCGGATCATCTCATATTCTCTGTAGTGTTCAATCTTTAGTTTCTCAGCCAGTAACGTCAGTTCTCTGATACGAACCTCTTTAGAAATCATATCCTGCGTGATAAGCAAATGTTTGGTTAGTTATGTTGAACATTATCGAGGGTTTCCGATTGAGTGTCGTAAAACCAAAAACCAAAGAAATCACAACAGCCAATCAGAGGAGAGGAAAATATCACAAGGAGCCAATAAGAACGCAATGTAAAAACAAGTTCACAGCCTAAAGCGCGGGAAAATACAAGTGGCCAAGACGCGATTGGTTTTAGTTTTGAATCTGATTGGTCGAGAGGACGACACGAGTTTTCTGGGACAATCACAGAGCGAAGTAAAGCAAAACCAATGCAACCTAGGAGAATTTTTCGACACCCAATTACAAAACTGCTTAACGAACGATGTTGTCAGTTGAAACATTGTACCTTTTCAAAGTCATCAAACTTCTTCTGCTGAGCTTCCACATGTTCGTAGTCCTTTCCGATTTCCTCTGAGGTGACAATTGCTTCCTAAAAGTTAGAAAAGGTCCGTCATGTTAATGTATTCTATTATAAACATATCAGATAACGAGCAAGCCTTATGGAAAGTGGGCGATATGACCCAATAAATGAGTGTGTTAGTATAACCTTAGCTTTCTTCGCTGTCAGAGATTTTAGAAAATTGTTACTCTTGTGTGTTTATGTTTTAAGACAAATGTACGTTTGTAGTTGCCAAGTCTTTGCAAAATACACGAACCTTGTCATTGATCCAAGACTCCAGTTCGTGAGCATCCCGCAACACACTGTATCTTTGAATGGAATCTTCCAATTTCTTCTTACGTTCTTCGCCTTTGTCCATCAGGTCTTGGTATCTGTTAAAAAAAAATGACTAGCATCTAATTTCTCCCAACAATCTATCCCCTGAATCATACTTGGAGGTCACGAGAATAAAGGAATTGATCACCAAATAAAAAAGCTCTTGATTGTAAAGCAAATTCTCTTTGTCAGCATGTTAAGAAATGTTCAGAGAATATGTGTTCTGATGTTAGGGAATAAAGGGTTAATCTTTGGAAGGATGAAACTGTTACAGCAAAGTCTGATACTCACTTATCATCCAAAGCCTGCTGTCTGTTAGCAACAGTGTCCACTTCAGGAGCCTGCGACAGAAGGTCCTGTGAGGCTTTGTGGGAGTCAATCCTCTTGACATATGCCGCAGGAACAAAACCTTGTCTGTCATTAGTTTCTACTTTCCACCAATCCTGAAATCAGTGCACAAGATTTTATCAAAGGTGTCACATAATCAATGGTTGCCACTAAAATATTACAAAGCGTTTAACATTTTCATTGCAACTGACACCTAACAAGGCCATTGCAAAACATGATAAATCACACTTGGTAATGCTTGAGTTAAATTAAACCCTAACAAATTTTTTTTCGCGTTGGTAAATAATTTAAAACCTTCCCAACTATACTGTAGTATTTTCTTTCTATCAATGGTACTTGGGCAACTGCTTCTGCTCACCCTTAATTTTGGTATTCCCTAGTTTGGATGCTTTCTGGTCTTTCTTGTGAAATGGGCTTAAGACAATGTAAATTGTAGAGAAAGATGTTTTTCGTCATATCACAAGCATGGGACAAGGAAAAAAATTCCCCATGAGGAATCGAACCTCAGACCTTTGGGTTCAACACTATGATGCTCTAACACTAAGCCACACAGACTCTACAGCGAGCAAGACCCATTACGAAGTTCATATATGTACCACTTTCCTCAAGAGTAGCTAAACCAAATGTACAGCATAAGTCGAAAAAAAAAAAAAGGACTTACCTTGTTGCTAGAATTGAGTAGGGTCAGAATGTCACCCTTCTGCATGGACACCTCTCTTGCAGTTTTCTCCTGATAGTCATAAAGAGCAACTACACATTCCTTGTCAGAGATATCTGTGACATGAGCCGCTGGCTGAGGGAGATAATTTCATGAAAATAAACATTGGTGGATGCAAAGATAGTGCAAAGATTCCTCCCCCCCCCCCCTTAAATTTAGGTACAGATTAACTGTAACTGACTTAGAGGAAACAGTATCAAAGTTTTTGGTTTGGTGGAACTCTCCTTTTTCAGGATACCCCCTTCCCCATTTCCTCTTTCCACATGATTAACACAATTTGAAAGTATCAGAACTTAATTTGATCTGGAAACATTGGAAATAGGTATACCACTGCTGAATCCAATCTGATGTTCATTCTTTTTTTTTGTCCTTCATGTTTATGCTGTGCTTACTCTTACCTTGCAGTGTTGACTTTGTTCTCTCAGCCCATCTACAACAGTTCCATATGCTCTTAAGTCTGACATGATGGCATCGTGTTTGGTAAGCAATGCCTAAAGTGTTCAAAGTATTAGTTGTAACACTAAAAAAAACTTGTACTACAATGTTCAAAAGGAAACAATGACATGAAAGAAAACTACTGGCAAGGCAAAGGGTTGTCATTAGGAGCCCATAAGCAACAGTAACATCTCGATTGTCAGACAATTTAACACCAGGTACTCTGTGAGCTGTGATCAGACACAGAAAATAAGTATTTTTGAACTAATTCTAAATTTAACATTAGCTAAAAAAAAAGCTGGTCAAAATGGCCAAGAAAGCTAGAAATCAGTCTCACACAGTGTCAAAAATTGAAATTTTTTTTTTGGGGGGGGAAGCATGTCCACAGACTCCAATAGAATGTTGTGTTGTAAACTTCGGATCATACATCTGGTACAAATGACAACCCTGAGACTGATAAGAAAACAACAAAGATATTTACCTGTGCACTGTCTTCATCTTTTCCATAGTCATCACTGGTAACAATTGGTTCTTTCTCCTTCAACCAGGATTCTGCTTCAGCAACATCAGCTAGATACTGATGAGCTTGAAGAGAGTCATCCAGATGTCCTTTTCGCACATGTGCCTTATCCTGGAGTAATAGTAAAAAAATTGTCAAAACACATCTTAGAAAGAACAATACTCTTTAAATGGTTAATAAAAGCGGAAATGCAAAATGTCATGGAATGGTCTTACCTTGAATTCCAGCCATTTCTGGTCAAGGTCATCAATCTTCTCTTTGATCTCATCAGCGGCAAAGTGCCCTGAGGGAAAACACAACATAATAAAAATGAGTCAAAACATTTAAATCAAACAAAAAAGTACTGACAGAGTATGAAAGGTATATGAAAAGTATATGAATTGAAAAGAAAACACATTCTTTAGAACAACTGTTCAAGAGAACTAACCATTATCTATCATTTGAACACCATTATCGCAAACAGCTCTGACACGTGGTTCATGACCAGCAATTTCAGTCTGCAAAGTGAAATGGATGAAATGGGCTGGTAAGTTGGTGATGAATCATTGTCAGTACAAGTGCCTCTTTTTCAGCGAGAAGTTTGAGGCTTTGAGCAATGTTAACTGGCAAGAGGTCTGCAAATGCTCTGGCACTGATAATGAGGAGCCCTTGCACACTTCTTGCCAGTCTGCTTTGACTGAGGCTTTTAACTGTCTTGTGCCTCAGTCCTAAAAAAGAAGGGCTTGCTTGTAGGCTACACATACCAAAACTGATTGAAATATTCACAATAGACAAAACACACTCTGGGATTACTTTATAATAGTGAACTTAAAATTGAAAAATGGATTTAAGCTAAGATCTGCAAACTGTTTCAGCTTCTGGCCACAAACCCATTTATTTACTAAAACATTTTTTTTAATTGTTCAGGTACAGCTGTTCTTACCATTAAAGCCTGGTGTTTCTTTGACAGATTCTGGGCTCCTGTCAAATCTCGGCCTATGGAGGAAGACATTTAATTTTCAGTTTACTATTGAGGTGATGGTCTACAGTTAAGGGAGGATTTCTGTTCAGCAATAACATTTTTAATAACAGAGAAAACCATTAAAAAATGACCATGTTTGGATAATGAAAGCATAGTTGTAAAAATTGAGTGCTTCAGCAAATTTCAAGGACTTTCAATTTGTTTTCATACCACTTACATTTACATTGAAGTGGTTTATATTAATACCCCAGGAAAGCAATCATCATAATTTCCACTGGAATCAATTTTCATTTTGCTCTTTATTTTGTATCATTATCTGCTATTCATTTACTTACCAGTGTTTGTGGATGAAGCAACAGGTTCCTTCTCCCTTATCCATGCCTCCTCATCTTCAACATCATGAAGGAATCGTTTAAGTCTCTCAGCATCCTGGAGCTTTGCTTTGCGAGCTAAGAGAGGAGCCTGGTGAGGAAGATGGGAGGTAATGTTAAGTACTTCCTGAGAAAAGGACATCAGATGATCTAGTTTTGTAAATATAAAATTTAAAACAAATTCTGGGGTAAATCTTGGTCTATCATGGCTATCAGCAACTGAATTTTCCTTTTGGCAATACTGTGTAGTAAAAAAACATATGATCATGGAGTCTAACATTTTGGATGATAGTACTGTAGTCCTGAGATGACTGTTGTCTCAAGTAGTGACTGTTGTCAGGAGACTCATTGGAGTCAAGCTTGGAGCACTGATTCTTATCATCTTGTATTAATATTATTAGTAAAGGCTACAAGTTGGACATTTCCCTGAGCCACTCAATCACACACACTTCATTATCATTATCACCTGTAGCTGTTGGTATCGGCTATTTAAAACCTCCTTCTTTTCTTTGATGGAAGGAGCATCAAAGTGGTCAGCCTCCGCAAATAAATCAGCTTGTGCATTAACAACCTCAATCTTTTCCTGGGGAACAACACAACAGAATATATAATGAAAAATTGAACAACTCACTTTCATTTCTGAAACAGTTTACATTTATCTTAGAGATGTTACCCTAGCTTTCTATAACTATTAGCCATATTTTCAAATGTCCTGAATCAATGCTAAAAGAGACAGTCACTACAGATACAGTCCTTGTCATTTGAAGAGAAAGCATCAAGGTGAAGATATTACATGGTTGCATCAGTGATAAAATATTCATAAAAACAGAGAGAACAATTCAAATGTGATGACAGGTGGTCTTCACAAAATCAGCCTAGACACAGTACAAGCTCTAAATCAAACCACGATTTTACACAAGCAGAGGACCTCAAGGATTCTCTTTGAGAAGGTTGATATAATGAAATAAATGTCCTTCCACTAAAGGTTCAGCTAAATTGGAGATGGCTTAGAAAGTGGTACGTTAAACAACAGCTTCACTTTGGTTAAATAACCAGCCTAGCAACTTTATATTTGATTGTACTTACTGCACGGGCTATGACATCAGCCTCTATCATGGCATGTTTCTTTTGGAGGTTTTGCACACTTGTCAGATCCTGTAATTAAAAGCAACTTTTTTCAGAATTCCTCATAATCATATCCAGATAGAGAAACCAAAGAACTACTAGGATTTAAGTACAGGTATGGGTTTTATTATTTTTTTCAAAATAACATACCTTTCCTACATCCTCAAGAGCAAGCAAGTTTTCAACTTCAGTGAACCACAACTCAACATCTTCGGCACCTCTGCATGATAACAAGTTCATAACATATCAAAATGCATTCAATAACATTGATGTCACAAGACATTTCTCAGAGTGTGATGATAGAGTAGTTATTGTTCTGCACATCTGTGAGGACTTAACATCTAGGTTAATATAACAAGAAAAGTCTTGAAATACATGTAAACGTAGTATTAAGGGAAAGTAGATCACATGTTTTGTGTCACTTCTCACCGGTTGAACTGCTGTTGCTGTGCTGCTTCTTTCAATTTCAACCCTGAATTCCAAATAAGAGGAAAAAACACAATTAGCCCTAAAGCAGAAGCAAAAATTTGCTTATGCAGTTTACACTTCATTTGATATCCCCACAAGCTACTATATACATTCCAGTATAATTGTTTAATTGTTTTTGTAAAGAGTTATTTCCAGTCCTGAAACTCTAGTTGAAAATGCAAAGGGTTTGAAAAAATGCCTCAATCAACACTTCGCAAGTGTAATTTTCTACTTTATGTGTACAGGTATGCTTCACCACTCTCCAAATTGTAACCGTTGGACCTGTAAGGATATCTGTAATGTCTTGAATCAAAAATGTTTTATAAGTCACATGTAAAGTACCTTTATCGTTTGATCTCTCAAACAGATAGGCCCACAACTTATGCAGTTCATCAAGTCTCTCTCTGATTAGATCTGAGGCATAGTGTTCATCTCCAATCAGTTGTTCACCAGTGTTGTCAACTGCATCAAGCCGGCTTTGATTGGCATTCAACTCAGCCTCAAATGCTTGGTGCTTCTGGATCTTTCCTTGCAGATTGGTTGGATCCTAAAGATTTCAAAAGTGGTATTTTGTTACAAACAATAACTTACAGTAATATTGTGTATGGATTGCAGTAGTAACATTTGAGATTTGCTCATATTTTACAAAATTCTTCCAAAAGCAATCAAGGACTTTTTCCTTGATTAAATAGCACCATATTAACACTTAAAAGGTTGGAAGGACTCTTGAAAGTTAAGACCCAATCTAGAATCTGTGGAACTGTCTTGTATTCCCTCAACCATGTTACCTTTAAATGAAGATGTGCTAATATGCCAAAGGCCTCAAAAGCTTAACTGTAGTCTTGTTATACAAGTAGTTATAGGTAGAGCCAGATATTGGGTAATCCTAATGTTTTTGTGTGAGCAAAAATACTATTTCTCACCTTGTAAGATTCATCACTGGCAATCTTCAGCTTTTCTGTAATCCAGCTTTTTACTTCATCACAGTCTCTCTCAAACTGCTGCAGTTTACGAGATTCCTCAAGTTTCAACCTGCGCACCTTGGACAACTCCCCAATGTTATTACGCCTTTCCATTATGGCATCTCTTCTCTCACGCACCTCATCTGAGGCATAGTGATTGCTGTCAACAAGGCGGTTTGCATACTCGTCAATACTCTGAAAGATGGAGGAACAAAGGAGCATAAATTAGTTATTTGTTGTGTATTAAAATATCGTGTAGTCCAGAAGTTTTTCCTATGGTATGTGTTTTAAATAAATGGTGCTTTGGAAAAAAGTCTGAGCTCTCCATGAAGATCAAAACCTCTGTGATGCTCACTTGACTACAATGAGCTTTAGAGGCATCAAAGACAAGTCAGGCTACATGTATGTACAAAGCTCTTGTCCCTGTGTGTTATTACCTAGTTAAGGTACAGTAAAATCCTTGGTGAATTTCACGAGAAATGTTAACTGCTGTAATGTACTCACATTGATCTTCTCTGCTTGGGCAGCAAAAGATTTGTCAAAGTCTTCATGCTTCCTGATCAGAGCTTCTACTCCATCGAGAGAATCACCAAGGTTATCATCAGCAAGGAAGGCCTGTTAAAAATGTTCAGTAAATAAAAACAACTTCCACAACATATATTTAGTGATACATAAGGAAAAAAGCAAAACATCTATGTATTTTTGGTACAATTTCATCTTCATTCTATAACAGTGCTGAAATGTGCTAGGATCAGAAATACAATTCCTCAGCATTTTCCTTGTTGAAGACACAATAAAACTGTATTTTGGTGAATCTTGCAAAGACATCAATATACTGTTGGTAACCAAATAGTTAACACAAATGTTTTTTCTTATGGAAAGTGAAGATGACAACATCACTGAATTTAGCTCTGTAATGAAATGAGTTAAGGCTCACAATGCCCTGGCATTAACAGGCACATTTATAACATCTGTTATGAGTAAACTCATTTGATGTTGCAGGTTAATGCCACAGATTAAATTACAAACAGGTACACTGTGCCTGCTTCAGAAGAAATGATCAATCAAGGTCTCGTGAAGACCAGAATAATCATTTTCAGGGTCAAATGATATACCACAAGATCAGACAAATGTATTCCAACCTCTTGTTTAGACATAGTGGCATCTGCATGCTCACAATCCCGATTAAAAAGCTGCAGCTCCATACACTGCTCAAACTGCACACGTCTCCTCTCCCACAGCTCCAACAGTTCCATTTTCTCAGTCTCCAGACTGGCAAGCTAAAGGGAGAGCAAAGTTAAATGTTTGGAATAAACACCTGCTTGCCTATTAAACATTTGCACCGTAACATCAAAAAGCATATTCTTCATACTGTTCTACGTGCATTTAAGAAGGTGCTAGCAAGGAGAATGTGTTTAACAATTAAGTAATTAAACATTTCCTTTATTCTTGCGACATAATGTTTGATTCAGGGCTGATGTTGTAAGGAGAAATTAGATGCAAGTCACTCTTAGGGGTCAGAGAGTTAACCACTTGGAGTAAACACTTTCTTGCCAATTAATGTCAGCTTAAAATTAAAGGATAATTAAAACAATTTAGGTCATAACCACATCAGGTGTCCTTCAGGGCATTACAAAGATATATTAACTTTTTTTAATATTATTGGTAGGAGATGAACTTTGCTTGTTTGTCTCATGATAGAGTCACTTTTGATGTAGACTGCGACATTTCGACTGCAATACTGCTAGTCTTCATCAGGCGATGAGGTTGATAGACACGTAAACTATCAACCTCATTGCCTGATGAAGACTAGCAGTATTGCAGTCAAAATGTCACCATCTACAACAAAGTGACTCTATCATGACACAAACAAACAAAGTTCATCTCCTATCTTACACCACCATCAACAATAAGCACATATTTTATTACATTATAATATTATTGTTGTTGAACACATACACTGCTAAAAGTATGGAAAAAAAAACAGAGAAACTTTGGATTAAGTACCTTTTCTTTGATCTCATCAGTAGCATAATGATTGGAATTGACAAGTTCTTCTCCATCATCGGCAAACTTCTTAAATCCATCCTCTGATGCATCAATATAACCCTAATGGATACAAGGAAAGAATTGCATGTTAACAAGAAGACCTCAAGAGAAAATGAGTCAAGGGTAAAAATGACATTCACCTTATGTTCCTGATGACGTTCCAGAAGACTTTCTGCACTAGCTACATCTTTTGCCAGTTCATCACTTTGGATCAAGACTTTCATTTCATTTATAAAAGAAATGTGGTCCCTAGAATCAAATGAAAAAATCATGGGGTGAAAATACAGGTAGTTGTTTGAAGAAAAGTAAGAACACATATACTGGTGTGAGTCGCTGGAAAAACATGCCTTCAATTGATAAGCGTGAATAAAATTATCAGTCTAAGATATGGTGCAGTCAGAACAGCCTTTGTCAACTGAACAGCCTTTGCTTTACATTTTCCTTTCAAAACAGCTTGCATTTTCGTAAGAGAAGTCCTGTTAGCCTGATCACATGGATGAAAGCTGAAAGGTTACACCATGCATGTATGAACACTGCAACCACACGAGAATCTCAGGTTGGTTATTAAGAAATTTAGATAGTTTTTCCTTGACAACAGAAAGCACATTTAATTTCTCTTACAAGACTATTCCAGCTGGCTGTTATTGAACCTAAATGTACATGCAGCAGACCACAATGTACAAAAGCAAAGTCATAGTGATTGAAAAACTCTTAATGCCTCTCACCTGTAGTCACTGATGAACCTTTGCAGACGATAAGAATCCTCCAACCTTGCTTTTCGCACCCCAGACTGAAAGATACCATATATACATGTATGACAATTAGTTCAAAGGGATCCTTCATACTGCATAAATAATAAACATACAATAAATGTTTAACTGAGAATAGCATTTTAATTGTATAAATAGGATACCTAGGGTGGTAAATTTTGAGCTTGGTAATGTAAAAGCAAAGGACATTTTTTATCTTGACATGAATGTGGGACAAAGGAAAACAATTCAAAGACCCCAAGAGGAATAAAACCTTGATCCTTCAGATTTCACCCTCAGATTCTTGGGTAGTGAGCTCCAGTATAAAGACTTTGAACAGCACCTTCTCCTTAAGATTTCCCCAGGCAGTTACAATTTCATCTTGCTTAGCAGCTATCTCATCTGCACTTTCTGGATATGCCTCTTGCAGCTGTGCAGATTCTGAACCCAGGGCAGTGACCTAGAAAAGGAGTATTCAGTAGTCAGTTGATAGATCAGAAATTATTAACCTCAGTCTAATTGCCTGAGCAAGGGAAGAGGACTGTTGATGCTAACAGTGACTGATAGAGCTAAAATCTGTGTTTAAGTCTTTATCAGAGACAAGAGAAGGGTAATAAGTCTCTCTAGCATTTTAAGATTGGTTTGCAAAAACTGATTGCTATGTTTTGTCAAAATGTGATTGGCTTTAAAACACAAGTTATGTTTTCTAGTTATGATTGGTCAGTTTTGATATCTGAATACAGTCAAATCTGGTTTTTTTTGTGGATTATATCTGTTTAAATTAGTAAAATATAAAAGTCAGCTTTCTGAGGAAAATAGGAGTTACCTTATCTTCCACTGCAGCCAAATCTCTTTCTAGAGCTTCATGTTTGCGTAACAGAGCATTGACACTGGCCAGATCTTTTCCATAATCATCTGATGACAGAACTTTGTCTTTCTCATTGATCCAATTCTTGGTCTCATCAGCATCACTGGTTAAAATAGATTTAAGTTACAGCTTCAGTGTTATGGTTTGTGTGCATACATGTACAGCTGATGTAAGACAATATAAGCTGCACTTTTAATTCAATTGTTTACAATGAAAATAGTAATAAAAGTGGTAGTTCAGAGACTCAGTTACAGTTGAGGCAGATCTTGTAGTGCTAAAAAGGAGTTTCTTGCAAAGCCAGATTCTATACCTTGGCTTGCATTAACAAGGTGCTAAGTGGACATCAAGGACTCAAGAATTCTCTGACCAATGTATAAAAAATCTCCATCTATGTTTTTATAACCTGAGCTACATGTAAATTTCATTCTGACCAGTTGAAACCTTTTTCCTGTTACCTTAAACTTTCCTTCTGTCATAACTGTTTTTGACATAAACCCTATTTTACGATTCAAAAAAGCAATGCTACAAGCTTATGTAGCACAAAAGTAGCCTGCTCCAGTAAGAGCAAAGCAAAAGTAGTATTACAAAGAATAACATGGCTTCTTACCGATAGAAGCTGTGTATTTGCTGGGCACCAGCCAGTCTCTTCTGACGTTTGAGTGCCAGCATCTTCAGCCTTTCCCAAGCTTCATTAACTTCCTAAAATTAAAAAACCAGTAACTTAACATGTATTAAAGCCTCGTAAATTGAAGGCATGTCTATTAAAGGGCTAGCATGAAAGGCTGCTATTATTAAGTTTTTCATGTACAAGCAGAAAGTTTGATTTAAGTTGAGGATATGTACCTAAAAGCAGTGCCTTCAAGGGTATAGGCACTATTAACAGACACATTCAATATTTGAAGGAGGGAACTAAATTGAACAATAACAGAAATACAACATTCCAGGTACCCAATCCTGAAAGGGCACAATGTATGTCCACTGAACATGTTGACAACCTGAACAAACTTGCTTAACTTCAAAAAACAGAGAAGAGTATGTGATTTCCTTTTTGCTTGTTCTGGAAAAAGTCACCCTGTGCAGACAATCCTACAAGGATTTATCATCACATTGCATGCTCCTCTGATAGAGCTATAAAATAAGTTCTCCTTGAATCATTAATACCTGATTCAAGCTTATTTTATCCAGCTAAGCTTTAACTTCTTACCGCTTGCTTTGTACTGATCAGTTCTATATCTGGATGACCCTCATCTCCAAGTTGATGTGCAAGCTCATTGATGTATGTGACCCTTGATTCATTTGCCTGAATATCCTTCAAGAAGTCCTCAAATTTCTTCTGAAGAACTTCCACATGTTCCAAATCTCTTCCTACTTCTTCAGAAGTGGCAATTGCTTCCTGAATAATAAACAAAACAATAACAATTTTACTAACAGACTTTTCAATGAAACTGAAAATCCATGGAAAATGCAGAAACCCTACATTTTTCAAAAAACAACTTTACTTAAGTATAAAATATTGTGCATACTTTTAGTACTGAATAATATACATGTACATTTTTTTTTTAGTTTGCTACATTTACATCCACAAGGAAAAAAGTTGAAATGAAAATGTTTCTTATTACCAAGGTTGGAATGACAATATTACTGATGCAAAGATATCTGCAATGAGCATTTAAAATATCTACAGGTATATTTCAGGACTCACTTTTTCTAAAATCCATGACATAACTTCCTCTGTTTCATGCAAGAAGTGGACTCTTTTCTGAGTAAAGAGAAGCATGCGGCCTTTCTCTGCTGATTTGGAAAGCAGCAATTCCCATAACTTGATGAGTGAGTCAAGACGTTCCTGTTGAAGAAATGATCATTTGAGGATGTGTTGAGTATTTGTTTCTAATTTAGTAGAAGAAAAAATTATCATTGAAAGCCTATTAAAATTCTCATATAAACTTGTTACAATCAAGTTCATTTTATTATTGTTATTTACTTTGTTGCACAATTCCCTTTCAGTTGTTAACATTTTACATGCTTTCATTTCAAATGTAAATTGAAATGAAATCAAGGGTAAATTCTGATCATTTAACAATATATATTTGTTAACTTTCATACACTTCTCGCCTTATTACCTTGTTAGTTTTGTTCCCATGTTTTGGCAAAGGCAAGTTTCATTTCCCTTCTTTAAAGACTTTTTGATTCTCTACTCTCCCTTTTAATCTCACAGTTTGTATAAGTTACACAATTTGCATGAACCCCCTTCCTGGGAAATGCAATGCTTTCAAATGGAAAAACTGTGGGTTTGCCCTCATCTCTGCAAGCTGTGTTTTATATCTTAAGTGAAATCAAAATGCATGGATATCTTTTGCACGTAGTATTTAGGAACAAAATAAAGGCACTAATTGAAACTCACCCTGATAAGTTCAGAGGCATAGTGGGACTCACTGATCATGCCTTCACCATTTTCTTGGAGTTCAATAATGGCATTACTGTGAGCTGAAATCTCTGCTTCAAACGCCTGATGTTTCTGGAGTTTACCCTGGACAATACAAAGATGACAATTGCACAGTTAAAACCAAAACATTTTGCAGATTGTTTCCCAAGCTACTTGTATTTTGCATCCAAAATAAGGTTTGTATGCTACACTGAGGTGAAAATGTGTCATTAACACTATCAGAAAGAAAAGTAAAAATTTAAGGTAAATTTTAGCCTTTTATAGTTTGGTAATGTTCTCGAATCATAAAAATTTTTCAGTTCATAAAAATTGGATGGATGTGTATATTAAAAACATTTTTTAAAAGCATTTATGTTGAGGTTGTTGAAGTTTTAGAGGTATTTCCTCATTTCCCAGACTATTCTAGAACAAAGCCATTGTCCCAAATACAATCTGTTGTTTTTGCCATTGTTCCCATAATCCAAGAACTGTAAACATAGTGAAATATAGGGCTATGTGGAAATCTTCAACAATGACATTCAGACCAGGTGGAAGCTAAAAAAACTTACTAATAATACACTTATATAATATATTAGTTTCAACTCTGATCAGAGATAAGACAAATGTTGTAATATCAACAAAAGTTTGCTCTGGGCATTGACAAACAAGATCAAACTTTGAATCCATGAGAGCAGATAAAGCATCCTTGTATTGATCATAGTTTGTACTTTCTCCGTTTAGTTTGGAAGCTAACAAAACTTATTAGCAATTTATTCATATAACTGATTTGTTTCAACTCCAAAGAGATATGGGCTGGTGCAAACAAAATTTTGCTGTTCTTTACTAATGGCTAAATGATCAATGATGATGAATTGTATACCCCATATCAAAGTATTGGGCATTGAAACTATGCACACTTGATTAGGTCAACTCATATATTGCTAGTAAGAGAGAGTAAGAGGGGAGATGATTCTTGCAGCACTCTTCAAGTTCCCTGCTTATCATTACTTTTTTATTCAAAATCTGAATTCATGCATTGTGTACGTAGTAATTCACAAAATCTGTTCGTTTCAACATTAGATGCAGATTAGCAAAACAACTTTCCGACTCAAAACGTTGCGACTTACACGAATTACTCAATCTAAGAAACCAGATGATAAAGCACGATTGAGTTGATCACGCCACTCAGCGAAGATTAATTAATCAGAGTTTCTGGCGCTTTCTAGTAACCAGCTGCTCTATTCGAACGTGGCGCGTGCTTTGAATAATTTGCATAGTATATATGGTTGCACTTTGCTGAGATCAGACCAGAGTTCACATAATAATTCTTGTGGCACTTTCCTTTAGATGATTTCGCACTCGATAATCTCATATCCCATCGCGCCATGGAAGAGTGATCGCGAATTTCTAAATTTGATCAATCAAACTGCTGTATGGCGTCTAAGTAATGTCTGGTCACGCACATGAATTCCAGCGTGATATTTTGTGACACAAACTGTTGTGAAAACTATTTCTCCATAAGATCTACACACAAGGAACATTTTATCAAAAACAGGTCAGAAAATATGTAAAACCCGATCTTTTACTCACAATCTGCATCAAACCAAGTAAAATCAAGCGAATAAATTTTGTATTCTCGACAAAGGTTTGCTTGGGGCGTTGTCGAAGGAGAGCAAGCTTTGAATCCTAAATGGCAAATAAAGCACTAAAGTATTGACCATAGTTGTCACTTAATCCTTTCAAAACCTACCTGAAGGTTGGTTGGATCTCTGTAGTTTTCGTCGCAAGCGATCTGAAGTTTCTCATTGATCCAAGCTTCCACTTCATCAGCATCACGTTTGAATTGATGGTAGCGCTTGGCATCTTCCAAGCGCTGGCGCCGAACCCGAGTTGCTTCTTTGAACTCTGCATAGCGCCGCAAAACCTGTTCACGACGGTTTTGAATATCTTCGACGGTTTCTAGAATAGCAATTTGACGAGAATCTACCTCAGCCATTCTGAATATTTCTTCACCACAAGACTAGACGGCAAAACACACAGGGTTTGTGAACGAATCGCCTGTAGTCTCCTCGGAATCGCCCCAATAAAGCGTTTAGTCACGTGATACAACGAATCCCAAAGGAGAGGAGAGTAGAGAAGGACGAAAGTCATTATTGAAAAAAAGAGTGAAACATTGCATGCATTTCTTCAAAAGGAGTATCTTAAATTTCTAAATAAGAATTAATTATTAGATATAAGTATCACAAAAACTAATTTTACTTTTGAAATAACAAGAGTTTTTAATAACTACTTTTCCTCCCTACCCCTGTCAAAAGAAGACGGAAGGAGGTCAAGTCGCCTCGTTCGCATGCTCGCATGGTCCCGGCAAAATGTCGGCCGCTCAGTTCAAGAACTTTCTCTACGCCTTTTGTGGAAAACGCAAAACCAGACCTGTCTACACAGAAAGACCTTCTACTCAGGGAACTTTCAAATTCCAGGTAAACATCCAGCGAACGTTGAATTTGCTAGCTTTCTTGAAGCTTTTTTTTCCTTTAAAAACATACTGCACAGGTTAAATTTGGCCACCTGTGAGGTGCATATGAAAAGATCTGTTTTCCTGAAGTTTCTCTAAACTCGATCGCTCCGATTATTAAACTGCAGGTTCAAATAGATGGATTTGATTATGTGGGCCTTGGAAGTGCTACCAGCAAGAAAGATGCTGAAACTAATGCTGCTAAGGATTTCTGTGGTTTCCTGATCGGAGCTGGAATTATTCCTCCAGATTCATTTCCAGATGATTTATTTGTGAGTTGTATGGTGTAGCATAATTTATTTCATCATTATTAGTAAGTGTTATTAATTAACACTGCACATTAACATGTGGACTTCTTTTAATGAAGACGTCTACTGCATATGTTGGATTGATGTTCAGTTGTCAGGAAAAAAGTTTCTTGGATATTTTTTGATAGATGTTGTAAACCTCGATTTCTCCACAGAGAAAACCTGCACTGTTGCTAGTTCTATACCGGGATGACTTCTTCCATTTAAATAATTCGTCTGTTTTCTCCTTGTCCCATGTCTACCCTGACAATCATCATGATATGCCATCTTTATACAAAATCATAGTAACCTATTAAGCCGAAAAAATTTGGATTTATGACTGTACGACCGTACAACCATATGACCATACAAGGTGCTACTTTTAGCATGCATGGTCAAATGTACTGTGGGCATGCCAACACCACAGCTTTGTTCAGTAGTCCAGTGGTCAGTGCACTGGGCTCTGAGTCGGACGACCTGGGTTCTTGTCCTGGCCGGGGCATGGCATTGTGTGAGCTTTTAGGCTTGGCTAAATCTATATATTACAGCCTACACCACTAATTGCAATCCAGTGGACCGTGGCCACTGAAAAAGTGGTTGTTCTTTGTTTTCATGATACCATTGCAATATTTTGTACCAGAATATTTTTATTTGCTGTCATACAGTGACCAGTTGTGAACTTATGCCAATAATTTCTTTTCTTTACCCTTTGATAAATTTTTTTGATATCACATAAACAAACTCAGGGTTGTTAAAGGAAACTAGTTTGAACTCAGGAATTTAAAAGTTGCCCTGGTATTACATACACACCCCCTAAAAGAATATCTACATATTGACTGAGTAGGAGGGCCATATGGGTCATATGATAACAGGTGATTATTGAAATATGTGACTGTCAATGGTTTTTCTTTCATTGCTGAAGCAAGAATAAGGCTCACATGAGATACCTCCAAGATTAACATGTAAGGTGATTTTTGTTCAAAACAGGGAGAAGGACCTACATCATCATCAGCTTCCATGCCATCTCAACAGCAGCTTCCATCATCTGCAGCACCAGTTCCTCCGACACAGCTAATGCAAAATCAAAACCAACAATCAGGACCAACACAGGGGAAGCCTTTTCCATCACAACCACCACTTCTTATGATGCAGCAAGGTCTGTGGTTCATTTATGAACTGGTTTAATCCACTGCTTGTGCATAGTTAATTTTCATTCTCCAGTGGGACTGTAACAACTCTGTCACCTTAACAAAACCATTTTTTTCAACATTTTGGAAAGTTATAGGGAGACAATTTTGAACTCTTTTATTTGATACTGACAGGTGAATCATTCACTGTCTAATCATGATAAGGTTCAGGAGAAACAAGCAACCCCAGAACCACAAAATTATCACAATAAAGTTTTTATTTCTGATCAATTTTCAGGCTTATGTAAGCTTTTTTTAAGTCTTTACTACATCCATTTTGAAATCACTGGTGGTCCCTGTTATCTGATTGGCTCTAGATGGTGCAATTTATTCATGAATTGCACCATTTTTTGCTTTAAATCGCTTCTTTTTCCAAGCCAATGAGCAGGCCACACTAAAAACAAAACAACCCATCAGATTTCGAGGCTTGTTTAAAATAACCAATCAAATTGCAGGAAAATGAAAGACAAAGAGTATCATGTGGCAAATTTTGCAACTTTTGTTTCCAAAACTCCAATTTTTCCCCCCAAAAATGGATGAATTTAATTTCAAACCAGTTCAGTACTGCATCAATAAAATATTTGAACTGACCAAGTCCTGTCTTTGGGTGATTTCAAAATGGATGTAATAAAGTGGTAATTGAACCTCGTGTTGTGCAATTTTGGTCCAAGTCATACTTGTGATTTCAAATTGAACTTGCACTGCACGCTCATTTGATTTTGAAATCATGCATATGATTTCAGCCCAAATTGCACTCCACTCAGTTCAATTACCATTATAAATCATAAAAAATTGACAATATAAAGGTGAAAACCAGAATAATTTTTTTGCTGCCATACAGTGACCAGTTGTGAACTTTCTCAAATAATTTTTTTCACTTTAGAAATGATGTATTTAGAAATGCTGGGCAATTTGATAAAATACCCCTTACCTTATTCAATATTGTATAATCACAGAAAAAAAAGTACATATAGTACATAGAGAGCAAGGGTGAAAAAGGTACTAGGAATAAAATTACTATGCTCTTTTAGAGTTTAAGTTTCAGTGATAGAAAGTCAACAATCTTGTCACTGATTGTTAGCCAGGAGGAAATTAGACTTAAAAATTTTAATGGTGCAGCTGATTTGTTTTTCTGTGCAGGTGGAACAGCACCTGGTACAAGTCAAATGGATAGTTGGAGTGGAGCTGGCCAAAGAGATTACCATTATAGCCTGTACAATAAAAGAAAGTTTGAAGAGGTGTGTATCTGTAAGTCTACTGACTAAGACTTGAGAGGTTGGTGGAATAAAGCTTTGAGTGACTTTTGATGCAACAATTACTCCTCCCTCAGCTGTTAAATAAGGGAAAACAGGACAACTTGGAGGGAGAATCTAGCTGTCTGTCCTAAATCAAATGGCATTTTATCATGTGCCCCCTTCCCCTCCCATAAAAAAAAATAAAACACTCATCAAGTTTGTCTTTGATTCTCATTTCTGAATAGGGGATTCTCTGGAGCAATAAAAATCTTGTTTTACCTCCTAAACCTAAGTATTACAAAATATTAATTCTCAAGTTCCAAGGGATATCTTCCCATCAGACCTTAGAGAACTGCAAACCTGGTTGGATATGGTGGATATGTATTATTTATATACATATGTAAAATCTTTGGTTACATTTATTATATCCTAGGCTGAAGATGTGGATCTAAATGCTCATCTTCATGGAAACTGGACATTAGCCAATGCCAAGTCTCGGCTGCATCAGTATCTGCAGCAGAACAGAATTCCTGCTGATTTCAAATACTCTGCTGGGGGTCCAGACCACAACAGGTACACATGCTGTAGTCCTCTTAAAAGACACTTTTTGTAACCAGACTCTTAAGAAGAAATGTAGACTAGTTTTCTCAAAAGGCTAGGTTTTGCTCCTGAGGGAATGTTTTGAAAATACTTTTTTATATTTTTGAACGTGTGAATTGCCCGAAAGAAATGTTAGGGTGGGCACTTATTTGAAGGAGTGCTTATTGAGGGAATGCACTATCATGATTAATGTGATTGGTATTTAGTTTTTTTTCCTGAAGGTACTAAATAGATTAAATACTATGCAAGCATACTGATTTGTTATTTTTTATTAGACATTTTGTTGCTGAATTATCTATTTTTGTGAAGTCTCATCGAAGAAGTAAGTGCCAGAAATAGAAAAGAGACTTGAATGGTTTTAATTATTAATGAACATTAACTACTTTAATTTGAACAACATGGCTTTTTGCCTCTGCTGCAATGATGTTGTAAAAAAATGCAGAATGAAAGATGATGTTATTTAGTGAATGGCAGTGGCATACTCAGAGAAAAAGAACCCCAAATGCTCCTAAATAATAAATATATAGGAGTCAAACCTAAGACCCTCTTATTAGTACTTTGAATGCTCTACCACTGAGCTGTGATATAGGAAACTTGCATGCTGCTAGGACAGGAATGTAGATTTGTAACACTTCTGCCCAATGGTGATGTAAAAGAAGATGGCAAATTTCAAGATGTTCTTCAGTGAATGACAGGGGGCATAATGGGAGAAAAAGAATTCTGAGTGCTCCCAATAGAAGTCAAACCTTGGCAGAATGTAGAATGAGTAACTTGACTAATGACAAGGAGGAAAGAAAAACTATAATTTAATTTTCATCTTCCTACTAATTGACTGATCAGTGGATGGATGAATAGATGAACTGATTAATTGTATATATGTATTACATAGACTGATTAGTGAATTGAATTTACTTGCAGCTATTTCTGCTCAAGAACATGCTTCCACAAAGAAACAAGCTGCCCAGAACACTTCTTTAAGTCTTGTTCGACAATTGTTTCACATGGGAGTGTTGGAGGCTGCTGAACCAGGTCAAGTTCAACCAAAGAAAACAAAAACAGATGAGGTGAGTGCTTTGTGGCTGAGTTTGGTATTAGTGTTGGTGAAGGGAGAATCAATATTTTAAAAAGTAAGCAAACATCTTTTGAGATGACACTGGCTCATTCTGATTGCTGTAACCTGAGTGGAAAGCATTGATATAAAACAGAAATTCAATGTTTTCTTAACTATGGTGAAAGATATGGTGGCCTACATGTTTAATGGTTAGTACTCTGGACAGGGGTTTTACCCTTTAACTCCCAAGATCTGTTTGTGAATTCTCCCCTCCAGCTGTTACACATTTCTGTAAATTAGTTCTGAGAATTTGTTGTTAAATCAAGATAACAACTTCTACCTGATAAAGTTGAGTATTCTTATTACCTGTTTGCTGGGTATTGTAATGAGTTAAAGGGTTAAGAAATTTGAATCAGAGTCCTTGCCATGTCTTTGTGTTGTGTTCTTGGGCAAACACTTTATTGTCACAGTACCTCTCTCCATCTAGAAGTATGAATGGGTACCGGAAAATTGTCAAGGAAGCCTGATGAAATGCTGGGGTGTAACCTTGCAATGAACTGGCATCCCATCCAGATAAAGCAATAATATTCTAGCTGGCTTTATGCTATGGAAACCAGATAAGCTCTAGCTGGGTGGGCTAGTTGGCTAGAGTACAAACCTTACCTTTCTTGGAAACTCATACTCCCTCTCCTCAATATTGCATTATCTTAACTGACATAGGGTCCCCCCACCTATCCTGTCCTCTTTCTGCTGCTATCCAGGCCCCCTGGCACTTGTGAGGAGGTTTTACTGTCAGAATGTTTAAATCTATCATACATATGTTCCTCTACACTCCTAACACTTATTCTATTATTTCATAACTTATAGCTTACCAAAAATAGTTTAGTTTAGAAAAGATAATCACCCGATTTTGAGTACAATTTGGAATAAATAAGCATTTTCAAAGACTAACAAAATTGCACAAGTGTGTAGGGCGAGTGCAATTTGTGGTCTTTGAAAAAATTTATAAGAGCTTATTTATTCCAAATTGCTTGAGAAAAATCGTGTGATTACATATTAATAATATACATGAAAAAATACGAGATAGCTTATAATGATTATGTAGAAGCAAAGTGCACACATCAAGTGCAAAAATGATTTATTCAAACCAGTGCATTTAGTCAAAACAACCGTGTATGATCAAAACAGCAATATACAATGATATTTTCACATCTTTAAGGCGCAAATAAAATCAAAGTCAGGCTAAACAGTTCAAGGAACTGTTCAGTCTGTGTTCAAATCACTTTCAATGGAATGGAATCGTCATTTGTGAGGTTTGACCATGTTTATTTTCAATTTCGGCGTGAACTGACACCCAAAAAGCAGTGCTTTTTACAGTGTTTTCATTGTTAAAGCTGTTTTTCAGCTGCTGTATTGTTGTTGCAGTGGCAAAAGAAAACCTAATTAAAACACCAGCTATTGTTTTGCTTGCAAATTTTCATTGTAGCCAAATATTGCAACATCTAAGGCTCTCATTTGATTGGCTATCTGTGAGTTTGTTTGATTATTGACCAATCAGAATGTCTGGTTTGTTACTTTCTTTGCACTGAATTAACTCTCTTCTGTATTGAATTACCTGAAAACTGCATTTATCTTAACCAATCACAACTGAGTATTTTTTTCTTTTAATATTATTAATAATAAAATAGTATCTAAACACTGTTAACAATAATTTAAGGCACTGGAGCTACCACCCCTCCTTTTTTTTATTAATTTCCTTGGTTATTTTGTGTTGTCAGAACCCCTTTTATTTTCTCATTGATGTAATTTTTTCTATCATTTTTCTTAACATGGTAATGTAATGTATTGCAAGTTCTTGTGAAATAAAAATTACCTTTCTTAACTTTTGTTATTCATTTCAACAAATTAGATTGAACCTCATGATGTTGCTATCAGTCCTGAGATGGAACAGCAAGTGTCAGATCTGCTTCAACGACTTGAAATTCAACCAGTTCCTCAGGTTAATTTTAGAACTCTAACTAATATCCAGGCATGTTATTTTTAACAGTGGAAAAAAACAAATGATAGATTTGTGATAGCCCATTCATGTTGTATTTTTCAAGACTGCTTTTTGTTATGGGAGTCATCAGGAAGAACATAGGATGGAAACTATATCAGAAGCATCAAGTTTTTCTTTCAGCAATCACTTATAATAAATAGTACCCTGAATATTGGAGGGGTTCAGCTTAAAAAAAGGGGAAAAAGCTCTGTTCAAAAATTCTTTCTGGTTTCTTTTCTCCACTGCATGTTTTTTTTTGTTGGTTGGTGTGAGGTCTTTGGATTTGGTGTAATGAAACTAAATTGAAATGCTCCCTTCATATTGAGTAACTGAAATCTTGGTTAACTTTTTTCATTATACAATGTCTGCTTGTTTGATCAAGATTCTTTGCCTTGTTTTGTCAGTGTGTATATGGAGTGTATACTCTGTATCTTTCCTTCAAGAGAGTCCACTCCACTTTGCAAAGTCAAAAGTTTAAAAAAAATGTTAGTGAACTAGAGTCACAACTGTTGGACCGTTCTCCTCTTTCATGAGCTTTAACAGAGGAAAGACTGCATCCCTGAAGTGACAAGCAGTTTTTACAACTTTTGTGTACAACTTTGGGTAAAGGAAGAGACTGCTGAGTGATGGTAGTCTTTGACTCTGCCCTGAGTTCAGTACTGCCTCTTTAAGAACAGTATCAGATCCAGTTGAATTCATCTTACAGCACGCTGTTGGTTCTTTACAGTTGATGGCCATGTAAATAAAGCAAGGTTCTCTTGAGAATTGCTCAACCACAGGCCACATGACCAGTATTTGAATCATGTTGTAGTTTAAATTTCATATTGGCAGGAAAGTTTTCAAACTTGCTAGATGTTTTTATTTCTTTGTTTTAGATCAAGATGATGAATGAAAGACAAAAGAAAAAGAAAAAAAAATAAAGTAGTTTGTCAAAATTTTAACTAATTGAAGACTGAACCAAAAAAAAAAAATTGTTCTAAATTCTAATCTTGTGGCTTGTGCTTGACCAGCTTGAAATTGTAAAGGTCTTTCAATGTAGAACCTTGATTGAAAACTCTCAATTGACAGTTCTTTTTGTATCTTGTGTATGTTTAATACAAGTATTCTTACTTGCTGCAGGTGCAAGAAAAAATACTGCCAGATTTAATTGCAAGTTGCATGCATACACACTGAACTGTCATCTATCAAGGTTCCCTGTTATAACCAAAAGTAGCTTGGCATTGCATAGCATGTACCAAAAGGCTCTGTGATTGTTTAAATATTGATGGCCTTTTGATGCATATGATGCAAGTGTTGTTAAATCTGACACCATCTGCATCTGATGCTGTTCTTGTCCTTGACAGGGGTGTTTTACAAAGTGTGTCTGCTTCAAGGGTGTAGTCTCATCTCTTTATTATAGCTCATGATTGAGGACAGTAATCCCACAAGAGGAGTGGAGTATTTTGGATGGTTGAGGTAATAGCAAGGTGCATTTTTTGACATTTGAAACACAAAGGAAGTTTTAATAGGTTGAAAACCAGTTTCATTTGTTTTAAGTTCAATGACATACTCCAGTGCAAAGGTAAATGTTGGTGGTTTTTAGACTGAGTGATCTAGTAACATTTTCATGATCAAAATAAAGTACGTCAAATGTTAATAAGCATCTGGAGGACAGACAGCCAGTGAGGGAATGTTTCCCAAAGTAAAAAGGAATAGAAAAGTAACAAAGGTGAGGTATGATCTGTCACTAACAAGGAAACAGGAAGATTACTGATTGACAATAAAATTCCCCTTTTTTGTTTTGAAGTTAACTTTTCTTTGCTAAATCAAATATGGGATGATTTTTTCAAACCTTGATTTAAGTGATTTAAGAGGTGAAATACACTTATTATTTACTTTTATTTTCAAAGGATAAAAGCAGGTGGAAGTTAATCAAAAATCATTGCCTCTTTCAATTTTGTCATTAGGACTTCCTGAATGAGTCAAAAAAGATCTGACACATACACTTTAAAGGATGTGAATCCATCATTGTTAATGCAAGTGATTAAAATATTAACCAATTCTAGGTAAATAGTCAGCAACTGTAGGTTATAAATTAAAAAAATTACCAGAAATTTGCAGAAATGGTAGTAAAAGAAACTTAATATGTTTTTCTTAAAGCAAGTGTTTTAATTAACCCCAGGACCCAAACCAAGCTGTATCCCTAGTCCTTCCCCCTGGAATGGTCAAATTTCAAGAGACAAATCCAGAACCAGGTTCTGGAATAGTGGAATGGACTCAACCAAATATGAACTGGAATCCATGGATAAACCAGCCAATGATTATAGAAGGAGCTGAAGACTATCAAGTGAGTGACACTCAAAGCTGTCCAAGTCTAGTGTCTCTAAGTGGGCATGCAATGGATTACAGATGTTTGACTACGAACCAAATAAAAGCAAATTCCTTACTTCAAACTATTGTTCACACCATCTTCTTGTTGCGGTGTCCTTTCTGCCCTTTTCTCTTTTCAGTTTTGTTGTTTTTGCACATGTGCCCTCTGTATCTCACAAACCAACACTGCAGGAGATAAAAGAAATAGCAAGTGTTCCCAAAAAATGTATTCTTGAGTGAAGCTGCGGGTTGAGTAAAGAGGATATACTTAGTTTTCACCTTTATATTAATTGAAAGGGTTATTAAAGATACATTTTGAATTATCCTCTAACAACTGTTAAACAATTTCTTTTAGGAACCTATTCCAACAAGTCAGGATTACCTAAATGAATACAGAGAGAAACATCAAAATGTTGATGTGTATAAAAACATGTTAGAGCAGCGAAGTCAACTTCCTGTGTTCCAGTACAAGTCTGCATTGGTTGAGGCAATCAGGACAAACAGAGTTGTTGTTATAAAGGGTGCAACAGGCTGTGGAAAAACTACTCAGGTTTAGAAAAGGATATTTAAGATTTTTCTTGTTCAATGTTTTGTTGATATTTTCAAAGTGCTTATTTCTTTCCATGTGTGGTAATATTACGCCATCTTTTTGTTATTACATCATCTTTTTCAGGTTCCACAGTACATTCTCGATGACTACATTGAGACAGGGTATGGTGCTGAGTGTTGTATTGTAGTCACTCAGGTTGGTGAATGTTAAGATCAAAGTTATGTTTGCGTTTCTTCTTGTTTCCCAAGAGGTCCATTCTTCATATGATGGTTCATACCTTTGCCTCAGTGTATCACTTAACTGGAAATTATGCTATCCTGAGTATTACATCAAACTTTGTTCTTTCATTCCCAAGATCTCATTTATTTAATAATTCTCCATACAAACAGACAAACGGTTGTGAATATATGGAAATCATATATTTTAACTGCGGTTAAAGACATGAATATGAAAGTGATCTTCGCAGTAATGAACACTTTAACAGCAGTTCAAATATATGACTTCCATATATTCATAACCGTTTATTCACCACTTCACGGGTTTATTTGGAACCAACACATTGACCAGCTCCCAGTTGGCTTGTTAGCTCAGTTGGTAGAGCACTGCACCAGTATTGCAGAGGTCATGGGTTCAAATCCCGGACTGGCCTGAATTTTTTTCAGGCCTTCTTTTCACTACTATTTGAGTAGTGTTCATTACTGCGAAGGTCGCTTTCATATTCACAATTCTCTGTACAGTTTGCCATATAATTCTACTTATGATGTTATTTTGGAGATATAGTTGTTAGATGAACTAATGATCCCCTAATTGATATTTTTATTTATCCTCGTCCATTGTCTGCTTAATATTAGATAGTAACTTTGGGGAGAAAATCTGTCCTCATCAATTTGGGGGGGAGGAGGGTTAAGAGGTTGATTGGTAAGAGTTGAGTGATCACACTGAAAGTTCTCTGTTAATTTTGTTGTGTGGATTTTCTATGACAGCCGCGACGTATCAGTGCTGTGAGTGTAGCTGAAAGAGTGGCCAGTGAAAGAGCTGAGATACTGGGCACCAGTGTAGGATATTCAGTCAGGTTTGATACTATTCTTCCCAGAAGCCATGCCTCCATGCTGTTCTGCACAGTTGGTAAGTCCTGAGGAAAGATTTTGATAAATTGTCACAAGGCAAAGAAAACTCAAAATTTTGCAGTAGAATTCAAAGACAAGCTAATCCCTTTTGAGCAGTTAGATGTCTTTTGGTAAGCTGAGTGATTTTGATTGGTTCTTACTTATGATCTAGAGATGTATAAATGATGCAACCATTAACAAACTTTTGCATGTTTTCCTATAAAACAAATATCAGTAGATTCCATGTTGTCATATTGATAGAGAGCTACAATCTCTAGCAAAATTTTTGGGAACTTTTTCCATACCTACAACCTGTGATAAGTCTTGTTGAAGTACCCTATGTTGAGATTTTTCATTTATTTATTTATGTATTTGTTTTTTGATTGCCTGTTACCTCACAGGTGTTCTTCTCAGGAAGCTTGAAAATGGTCTTCATGGAATTTCTCATGTGGTTGTGGATGAGATACACGAGCGAGATATAAATGTAGGTTTTTTGGTGTGTTTGTAGTTTACTTGATTGGTCTTGGCCTCACAAATGCTAGAATTATGCTGTGTTTTTCTTCATTCCGGAGTGTCGGTCAAATGGGAACACCCTAAACTGTCAACAAAATCTGTCAGAATGGAAGGCATGATAGTGTAGTAGAGCTACTTTTTAGCAGCCATTAACTTCTCTCAAGATGTCAGGGTTGTCAAAAAGATTTAATTATAAGTAACCTGACTGTGGCAAAGTAGGTGTCACAATCTCGTGCTTCCATGCTGAAAATTGAGCCACAAGCATTCAGAATAGCTTGCGGGTTTTTCTGATTTAAGAGTGAAATATGCTGTTTTCAGCCTATTTCGACAACCCTGAGATGTGGCTGAGACGAGGATAGAACAGAAAAGCTTAATATCAGTGACAAAATCAACTTTCAAAAATCAACTCCCCTCAAAGCTCTGTGCTGGAGTTGCCACATGGTCTGAACTGGTGTTGTTTATGATCGATGGATTTCAGAAGTAGCTTCATGCAAGTATTTTCTGTGATGTACTTGGACTACATGCTCTGTTGACCAATATGTGATTATACATTGACGTCTTGACATGTTGAACTACAGATATCCTTCTCTACCTCATGTCCATTTACTAAATGCCGAATTCTTTGGAAAGGACTTGTGTGCTGGTGTATCACTGGTTTTTAGGAGCTTCAAGATTATAGGACTTTTCTGTAGTAATTAATTTTTGTGTTAACAAGTAAATGGCTCAACAAAAGGTAAACTTTTGAAGGAAGACATTCTCATTTTGAATTGCAGACTGATTTTGTGTTGGTGATTTTGCGTGACATGATTCAAGCATACCCAAACCTCAGAGTTGTCCTCATGTCTGCCACTATTGACACCCAGATGTTTACAGAGTATTTTGGCAACTGTCCTATTGTGGAAATAGAAGGAAGATCGTTTCCAGTTCAAGGTAGGGTATATAGTTGCTGTTAGTAGTAATTCCTTAGGTCTGAATTGTTGTTATAGTTGTTGTAATTGTAGGTCAGCTTTAAAACTAGTAATATTTCAGCTTTAAATTGTTTTTTCACAGAATATTACCTTGAAGATGTGATCCAAATGTTAAATTTTGTCCCTCCACTTCCGGATAAAAAGAAAAAGAGAGACGATGTGGATGATGATGAGGAGGTAACTATGATGAGCACATCAATGTCTAGGGATCCAAGTTTAACTATTTTTAGTGTTGGCATCTGGCCAACCTAAGTCATGAAATGCTCTAAAACAAACAAACAATACAAAGAAAAAGGCTTGCAAATGTAATTTTCCTTCAAAGTTTCATATTTTTTATCGAATTTATGTAATGGAAATTGTAAAGCGCGATTGGACATTACTGGAAATCGCGCCAAACGAATAACGTATTCCTGTTGTTTAGTTATAATTTATTGTTTTGTAATAATTATAGGAAAATTGTAACTTAACATGCAGTGAGGACTATTCCTTCCAAACCAAGAATGCGCTGGCACAACTGAGTGAAAAAGAAATGTCTTTTGAACTTGTGGAGGTAAAATGTTGTTTTTATCATTATCATTGTCGTATACTAAACAAAATATCTTATTCGTGACGATCAGTAGTGAGTGCATAAATAGGTTACGGAGTGTAATCCGTGATTTCTATCGAAGCTTCTCCAACCCAACCGTCGAAAAGCGTATTCAGTAGAATTTACCCAGACCGCACCAAGTAGCGTCGATAAGTTGTATTATTGAAAATATACTGAACTAAACATCTTATAAACTGCTCTTGCATTTCATTTCTATCTTTTGGTCGAATTTGTATATGAAAAAAGACAATAACACGTCAAATCTGACCATTGTAGGCTTTGCTTAACTACATATCCGGCCTGAATATTCCTGGAGCTGTCCTCATATTCCTTCCAGGGTGGAACTTAATTTTTAAACTTCACAAGCACCTGAAGATGCATCCACAATTTGGTGAGGCTGAGACCTGTTACTTGTTTAAATCTTTTCTTGTGGAACATAAGGCCATATAGAATGAGAATGGAAAGTGAGAAACGCCCTTAATATAGGTGAAATTCGGCATACTGACGAGTGTTGCTTCAATTTGAGAAAATGCATCACCTCCTATCAGATCTCATGCCGCCGAGGAAACGATACAGTCTCGGTTGCGTCAGTAGTGGGGATCTTCAGCGTATTAATTTGAGCCTACGCCAAAATATTAGAAAAATCACATTCATTGGTTGGAAAATCAAAGATTGCTGAAAAAACTCTTCACCGTGTGCGTTTTGTAAGATCAATCATTTGTTTATCAAGTCAAAATTTTTACAGGCTTTTTTAACTTTTTTCAGTACTAAAACGAAACTTTCACTCAGTTTAAGGAAAGACATTCCATGTTAACATAAAATCCAGGGAATGAACCGTGTGCTATAGTTTTCAAACATGTATAACTGATAAATAAATGGACACAGGACACTTCTTTGTTTATATCACAGTCAAAAGCCTGTGCAGATTTATAAGTTATTGTTTTCTACAGAAACTGTTCAGCCTCTTCGGATGGCAATTGAAACAAAGAGTTGGCAATAAACCTGATAGACTAAATTTTGTTAAACCAAAAAGTTACCTACTGTTATCAACTGATTGTCTTCATAGGTTCGATTTTTCAAATTTTTCAAATTTTGTCCTTTCAGGTGTGAGTAGCAGGTATCGCTTGCTTCCTCTTCACTCCCAGATCCCCAGAGAAGACCAGCGGAGAGTATTTGAGCCCGTTCCAGAAGGAGTCACAAAGGTAAGTGCTGCTTACACCGTGGTCACTTAACCAATCTTGACATAAGAAAAGAGAGAGAATTCCAACAAACTTGAATGTAGCTAATGAATGCTTAGAATCAAAGCATGAAGAAGTGACAGAGAAATTAAATGGGATTCATTGCTCGTCTCATGTACTCAAATTGGTCTGTTTTGTACAAGTGTTCATGGTCACCGTAGAGTATTGTCAGAATGCGTTGAGTACTTTTTAAAAAAAAAAAAACAAGACGCCGCAAGGCGTCAACGTGGGACGCGTTGGTCGTTATCTACAGTCACTGTGGATTTACGTGGAAAAGAATAAATTTCATGTTGACTCTTCCAAGTTTAACGTGGTCTGCCACAGGCATCCCACTTAATTGTTTTGCAGGTGTGTTGACCTTATCGTTAAGAAGGTTGGTTTTTTTTCTCTGTTGCAGATAATTCTTTCTACAAACATCGCTGAAACAAGTATTACAATTGATGATGTTGTTTTTGTCATTGATTCAGTCAAGTGAGTTACTAAACAGGCCTGCTTTTGCACCTCTTTTAACGGTTCACTGTTTTGACCAAGGTCTATGGTCTTTATATAATGCAGGTTAATTTTTTTTCGATCCCGAACATGTACAGGGAACTAAGACTCGCTTAATTAAAAAAAAATTATATATATTAACATGTTTTAGCACGACCAAAGAATGCAGGGCTTTAAAAACGTTGAAAAGCTTACGTGGTGATTACTTTTGTCATCAGAGCCAAAGTAAAATTATTCACCTCACACAACAACATGACAAATTACGCCACTGTATGGGCGTCCAGAACCAACATGGAACAGAGGCGTGGTCGAGCAGGCAGAGTCAGACCAGGATTTGCTTTCCATCTTTGCAGCAGAACAAGAGCTTCAAGGTAAATTTGTGAGAAGTCCCTCTATCTGCCATTATATTGATAAAAATTTCCAAAATTTTTTAATGTTAGGTCCTTTACTGGCGAAAGTTGAGGGGGAAATTGGCTTGTCTGTTTTTATGTTCCCAGGATTTAATGATTACACCTGTCAACATTTTGAATTTCGGAGAACTTTGAGTAGAAAGGCAACATAGATAATTGTAACCAAAAGGAGAAAGGATGGCAAAGGATAAAGAAGATTATCACGGATTAAAAATGAATACAAAATATCAATTTGGTAGAATAGAGAAACACAAAAGAAGCAGTTATTAACCAAGACGGAATGAGGATAGTCGGTTTTGGATGGAGTGGATTTAGAAGGATGTTAAATGACTGAAAATATTTGTTTGGTAGGATAGAAAAACACAAACGAGGCCATACTAAACCAACAAGAGGCAGGGATGGCTTAGGATGGTGGAGATGATCACGGATTGCAAATCACAAACTTGGAAATTTTATGCTTATTTTGACAGACTCGCTGAACACGCCACACCAGAGATCTTGCGCACACCGCTTCACGAGCTGGCTCTCACCATCAAATTTCTAAAACTCGGAGATATCAGAGAGTTTTTGAACAAGGCCATCGAGCCGCCCCCGCTTGATGCAGTGGCAGAGTCTATTGCCCTATTAAAAGGTAAATTGCTCTCGGAATAGATAGAGTGGGCACACTGTTGGTGATAACTTGAACCCTCGCTGACTTGAAACAAAATCAATCTCCTCGTGAAATTCCAAAATATGTTTACTGTAACTTTACTCTCGGTAACTTGCATCCTTGATGACTTTGAACTCTCTTTCAATCTTTTAATCTTACCTTTGTTCGTTCACGTTCAGACTATTTCCTCCACAGTTTTACCCTCGGTGACTCGAGCCATGTTCGTTGTTACGTAGTAAGGAAAAACCAAGAATACTTCAGTCCAAAAAAATTTAATCTATTTTCAAGTGACCTTGTATTGTATGTGCCATGTTTTGTTTGTGCGCTACACAAAACGAATGTCCTTGCAGTTACAGTTTAGGATGCACTTAACTTCAATGCTTTCTATTTAAACTAAGCTTTGATGCTTCAGCACTTATGCTTATGAAACGTTTCAATACCTCCTGACGTCGCAGTTTTAGACCCGCCAAAGTTATTCACCAGGGAAATTGCTAAAACTTCTTATGAAAGGAAGCAAATTAGCTTCCAAGTCGTGCGAGAGAAAGGATTAAGACAACTTTTGTCAAAGTCAAAATACGACTCAGGTGTTTTAGGATGAATGGGTGGTACACTGGGCGAAGATTGCTAGTAAGCACGATTCCACCTTCATGCTCGGCTGTCAGTTGCGAAGGTAATTAAATGTTAACAAATGAGTCGAAAACGTAAATTAGCCACCGTAAAGGTCAGAGCTCTGACGAAGGGCTAACGCTCGAAACGTCAGCTTTTTTACCCTTTACGGTGGCTAATTAACGTTTTCAACTCATTTGTTAACACTAAATTACCTGCTACACTCTCCCACCGACGTAGCACCACAGTTTCTTTAGAAACTTACCCCTTTATTCATTTGTCAGTTGCGAAGTTGATTCTTGGTAGACTGGACGGAATCCTGTTCCTTGTTTTTGGTCGGATGTAGTGATTGTAATAAACTTAACTGAAGAAAGTTGCAGCTAGCAAGGTTTAAATCTCGAAAGGCCAGATTTCTGGGAAAGTATTACTAAGTATGACAAGCCATTTCTGATAAACGATATAAATGGTTTTGTGTAGACATGGAGGCTTTGGATGGAAACTTAAATCTCACTCCCCTTGGTTACCTTCTGGCAAAATTACCCATTGAACCACGGCTTGGCAAGATGATCATTCTTGGATGCATCTTTTAGTGAGTAGTACTGCTGTTTTTCTTTGGTATGATTTCTTTCTGAAGCTAGTGCAACATTTCTCAGGGAGTTGTCGTAGTCGTTCGATGGTATGGTCTGTAGGACTCAGAGACAAGGTATCGGCTCACGTCTTTTATTATTTTCTTTTTTTTTGGTTTTGTTTTGTTTTTTCTGACAAGACAAAATACTTAGAGTGTAAGTAGGTAGCGCTTGATCGTCAGGAGGTGTTATGAAAGCTTCGGAAGACGGGGAATGGGTGGGGAGGGGGGGCAGTTTCTGGATTTCCCGCGATAGGCGAGCTTGGCCATGGTTCTTAGTCAATGGAGTGGAGACGAGCGAAAGCGACAGCTGTGACTGCCGTGCGACCGCTTGATTGCCATTTTATAGTCTTCACTAACTGACAGCTAAGTTTAGGCTAGAGATGTATCCACTGTTCCGTTCACGAGTTGTTGTGGGAAGCAGGGCGGAGGATAGTGCGCATAATTTAAGACGCTTTCTGTAAGTTCTTTTAAGTCTTAACCACAAATTTACTTCTCAATGTTTTGCCATCTTTTTCTCAGCTGTGGAGATGCCATGTGCACTATTGCTGCTAGCACCAGTTTCCCTGAGCCTTTCGAAACATCAACTGACCAAAGGAGACTGGGCTGGGTACACAAACAGTTTTCAGGGTCACGTCACAGCGATCACATTGCGTTGCTCAGCGCATATCAGGCTTGGGAGGATGCCAGGTAACGCAATTAAGGTGACGAGGCAGGACTACAGCCTTGTTAGCAATAATAAGAAGAATACTGAAAGTTACATAGAGGGGAGGAAGGGCAGGAAACGTAGGAAACGATTCTGCAGGGTGGACCGAGATAGGGGAGCTGTTACGAAGGAGGGCTTCGTGTTTATCTACCCCGTGGATAGAAAATATCCATCCATACGAACCCGAACAGACGTCGACCTATGTCGTATGGAGTACCTATATTTTAAAAAAGAATTTGCGACCACTCTTGTTTCTTTCTGCCTGAGAAAGGACGAAAATTATCGGCCGTTTTGGTAGCCTCATTTTTCATTTGTCTTCAAGGCCAGACCTAAAATATGTGTTTGCCGTGAGGTGTTCCGGTTCGCTATAATTTTTTTTTCTTTAACGTAGGTCAGTAGAAGATGAATCTGCTGAGTATCAGTTTTGCGAGAGTCGTCAGTTGAACATGTCAACCCTTCGCATGACATCGGAGGCTAAGGTAAAACTGCAATGGTCAAACCATTTGTGCGCAGTCCCACCAATCTGTGGTGGAATAAGCCTCCGATTGATATTGACTAGCTTAAAATGTTGTTTACGTCCATTAGTTTGCTTTCATTCATTTTTTTATCTTATCTACAGCTTCAGCTGAAAGATCTTCTTTGTAACGCTGGTTTTCCAGATGGTAAGTGACTGTTAATTAACCCTTTACACCCTAACTCAGTATGCATATCCTCCACACTACCCGCGATACATTTCCTTAGGTGCTGACTAGTAGAACATTTGCGTAACAATCAAGAGCTTCGTTAATTAGTGATCGTTTCCTTTATTCTCGTGACCATAATATGTGATTCGGGGTGATATTGTAAGGAGAAATTAAATGTCAGTCACTCTTATTGGTCAAAGGGTTGGGAGATACTTGCGAATAACAAGAAAGAATCACAAGTCCGTGAGCTTGAAGGCTGGTTTATTTGGTCTTATTTTTGTGGACTGAAATCATTTCATGTAGGGCGAAAACCCCAGTAGTCCAATATTTGGCGTGCTCAACTGCATTACGAGATGCCGTGGAGGCTCAAACATTAGGTAGTTTGTGATTTTGTGCAAATGCGAAAGTTTACCCTGTCTGACCCAATTTCAAGACTATTCTGAAATGGCTGTAGGTGGGAGTATTACTCTGCTAGTTTTGAAGTGATGTCGTTGGCTTACCATGATCTTATCTGTTACTGCTGGTTAATATGTCGGGTTCATTTAACTCGCTTTTTGATTTCTACTGTCATAATGTAGTTCAAGAAGAAGCTCGTGTTGCACTATTTGGCGGTATCTGTGCTGGTAAATACTTACATTTATCCCAATCCTTTGCAGAATGTATGCACCCACAGCCATTTAACTACAGCGGCCCCGACTCCAAGTTGGACATGGTAAGGAATTTTAGATGTCACATACTTTGCAGTCTATGGGCGTTTTGTGTTTTCCAAACTTTGTCAGATTATTCTCATGTTATCAACATCCTTTTTTTTTTAATTTAGTCAAAGTGTCGTTTTTCTTGTAATTTGGATTTTTCACTTCGACTATCGCGGAAAGTTAACTTGTGTGATTTTTTTCCCTGACCTTCGGACATCAATTATTTCTCGTTTAAGCTTCGGTTGTTGTGGTTGATGTTGGCTGTTGTTTATTCCGGCATTGACTTCTCCGCTCTGCTACACTAACATCTCGCATCTAGCCTAAGTTTGGTTTGACTTCACACACGTGCAGTGTACTTTTTCTCAGACAAAGACGTATAATTACTTCCAAGGCTAAAAACATCAACAAGTCTTCGAAGTCTTCAAGTCTTCATCAACAGCATTCGAAGTAAAAATTGAGTTGAGGAAGTTGTAAATAATAAATAAAGCCTTGGTAGTGTAGACTCTTGGCTCTTCTCGCGTGGCTCGCATGCCGTAGGGAACTCAAATTTTTCCCTGCAACGGCAACGGTGAATAGTTGACGAGAAGTGCAAACAAGCGGTTCGTTCGGTTTTACAAGAGTTGCTCTATTGTTGATTTTGAAGACTGAACTTGTCATAATCAGCATAACCCGGCTCTAATATCCGTGTAGTATTTTTCGAATGGAGAGTGATTAGTTATTTCCATATCTTCAGGTCGTGGCTTTGTTGTGTTTGGGTATGTATCCTAATGTCTGTGTACACCGAGGGAAACGCAAAGTACTAACGACAGAAGGCAAAGCCGCGCTCATCCACAAGTCCTCAGTGAACTGCTCCAACAGGGAACAGACTTTCCCGTCTCCGTTCTTTGTGTTTGGAGAGAAGGTAAGCTTTTAGGTGTGCTTCATGGTTTCCAAAAGTTATCGGGCGATTTCTGTAGTGTTTGATGGTCCTAAAGTCTATTACAGGAGTTCTTTTTCTCGCACTGTCTGTTCAAGAACCCTCGGTCCTGTTGTGTCTCTAAATGAGCTTAATTTAAATAACGACATTAGTGAGGATACCTCTGACAGGCGTTATCATTGGAGCGGTTCACGCGAGCGTCTTTTCCCCAGCATACCAGAAAGGCTTCTCACAATGTTGTATTTGTGCTGTAGATTCGTACCCGCGCTGTATCGTGTAAACAGATGACCATGGTTAATCCTCTACAGCTGCTCATGTTTAGTCAGAGTAAAGTAGAATCTGAAAATGGGATCGTCAAAATGGACGACTGGTAAGGACACTTGTGCGCACGCAGACCAATTCCGCCATTAGTTTTTGTTTTAAACGCTTAAAATTTGAAATGCAGTAGTGATTTGATTTGTCTAAAACTATACATGCGATAATTCCATCATGCTCAATGGCGGCACAATCGGATGTTAATACCTTGGGAAGTTATTCCCTGATTTCAGAAATAATTGACAACTCTTTACCAAAGTGAAGGTGGGTAGTTGTGGATATTTACCGAGCCGCAAAGCGACGAGGTAAAAATCCACCGCAAGCTACTGACACTGATGTGAATATAGTTGTTTTAGTATATACTTAAACAATCGGGTAATATAGTACAAAAAGATGATTTTTAATTATTTACTCTCGCAACGATTACAATATTTTCGGGCGAATTCTCGCGCGAGTTTCTCGGAAGTAAATAGCGAAGGATATTCGGAGTTTTAGTAGCCAATCAGAGCGCGTTTTCAACGCTATCCACTTTTTTAGTGTGTACTAAATCTTGTTATTGCCCCAAAGTTTATACAGAGCGCTTTCACAACTCTTCATATGTTTTAAATGTTTTGATATTTTTAACGCGTTCCTTTTGAAGCTCTTTCAATATTATTCAATTTCTACTAAGTCACGTAGCACGAAGCCGTTTGCTGCTTGTTAGTATTTACGGGTACCCCACAGTTTGTCAGAATGTTACTGTTTGTTATTTTCTAAGGTTACAGTTCAGGTTTGCTCACCATCAAGCCGCCATGATCGTAGCCCTGCGTCAAGCACTTGACTTCCTATTAGTTCGCGCTGCCACAAATCCAGCCACAATAGCTGAACCGAGTCATGAAGATGAGAGAATACTGCATGTCGTCAAGGCGTTATCAAGAGCTAATGCGGGAAGCTTTAATGTGAGCCGTGGTGGAGGCCAATTTCAACCGAGAGGAGGACCTCTACCGGGGTATGTAAAGTTGGGCCTCGAGTTACTAAGGGTCGGGTTTGTTTAGCTTCTCTACACAACGCTCTGTGATTAAATTAAGATTTTTGCGCCACCTAGTCGACCAATTGGTGATGGTAATAAAATTGTGTGGACTGGAATCCAGAGGAGTGACCGGGCGAGTAATTTTTAATCCGCCGAGCCTGTACCGCAAAGCCTATTTGAACTTACAAGCACCGTCAGATACAGAATTATACGTCACAGAGTCCTTTTACCAATTAATTATGTTTTCAGAAGCTCCGAAATGAAATAGTTTGTGTCAGGACGTACAACTTATATTTAACCATTAAGTTAAAGCTCAACTTTCCAAAGTTTTCCAAGTCTAATTTATTTATTTCTAATCCAGTTAAATATATCGGCTGGTAGCATTTAGTGCTACATTCTCATGAAGTTTTGTCAGTTTAGTGCTGCACCAGCAAAATTTAACATCGAATAAAGTTCTTAATAGATCAATCGAGTTTTTTCTTTCTTCGTGAGTTATTCAACCACTGTTTTTCTTCGAAGAAGCGCCTGAGTGCTTATTTAAAACTTTGGCTAAAAGGAGGGCCGCTCATCGGAAGGAGAGTGCTTATTATTCTCTTGTACTGATTCCGCTGTAATAGTCCATTTAACAGTTGCGTGCTTGGGTCCAAAGGCTTTTAACAGGAGTGAGGCTTAAGGTGACCTTGTCGTGATACAAACGCTGGTGATCTTCGAATGCAAATTACTTGGTTATCATGCTCACTTGATACTGGTCTCTATCACAACAAGGTCACCTTTAGCTCCACTCCAAATCAAAGGCTTGGCAACTAAGTACGCAACTATAAAATGATGTACTAACGCTGAAAAATTATCAATTAATTGAGAATGCAGGAGTTTTTCTTGGTATCCCTATTATGTTTCCCTCCTATTTAGGAAAGTAAGGGAGGTGAGGGCGCTTGTTTGAGCTTACAGCCGAGGGGGTGGGCGCTTATTCGGGGAAGGGCGCTTATTCGGGGAAGGGCGCTTATTCGGGGAAGGGCGCTTATTCGGGGAAGGGCGCTTATTCGGGGAAGGGCGCTTATTAGAGCGGTAGGGCTTATTGGAGGAGATGTAGTAACGTCAATGTGTTTCTCTAGGTTGATGCACCGAGGAGGACGTGGTGGACCTCCACCAAGGCGTGGCTACCAAGGTCCTCGACATTACCGCGGCAACTACCAAGGGGGTGGATTCCGCGGCGGTGGCGGTTTTCGTGGAGGATCCCGGCGTGGAGGCTTTCGCGGATTTCGCGGCGGACAATATTAAATGCAAGTTACTTAATTTTTGGCGTTAGGCCTACCATTTACAGTGGAGCAGAGGAGTCTGTTAAAATCCCAGTTATTATTCGGTTTTAATCTCACTGGAGAATACATAGGCGTGATGAAGTAGCTGACAAAGTCGCCGGGAAATTAAGTTACGACATGAACAATTCGCTTTCACTTAGAAAAGGAACAGTTTATCGTCACTTAAGTTGTACCATTTTCCTCTTCGTAACAGTAAATTAATGCCAAAGGAGAGCCTTTTAAAGATTGAAGGCGCGTCAACAGTAAAGAGTCTTGCGCGAATTGCGTCCCAGTGCTTAAAAAAAACCTGCGTACTAACTCATCTCAATTGCTTATGGTCTTTTTTAGGAAAGAGTGATAGCGTTCCACGGTTTTCAACCGCCAATGATGCAATACGCGCTTTGTGATATGTCGGACTACATTCTTATTTCCCAGCAAAATTCGTCGCGCGAGTGAAAAGTTGAAACCGATGAAAAAACCATTTCATAATTTATGCGACGCCAGAACCTTTTTTTGCGAATATTTTTAATAACTTTTGCGACAGATTATGCTGTGAAAGAAGTGAAGACTGCTCGTTCTCGAGACTTTGGTTGTGTAATTGTAGTTAATATGTACGGTGAAGATAACAATAAACAATTCCTTGAAGTTGAATTATCGTGCCTCAGGGCTCACTAACTTGAAATTGGTAGCGTTGTTACATCTTCAACCTTTCCGTCGAGGGCCGAGTTTTCTTACATCCTGTTACAACTTAGCGTAAACAGGGTGATCTCTCAGTCAAACGGTGGAAAAAGTGTTTATTTACCTGATTACAGACAAAGAGAATATTTACAATGTATCGATAGTACTGTTCATCCTAACTCATCCTCGGGCCCACACACTCTCTCTCTCCCCCCCTCCCCCCACTGAAACGAGGTAAGGTTCACTCAGCATGAACCCAATAAAAGTACAAAAGAAAATTCTCGCTGTGACTGCAATTCGCTCTTGATATTCGTATAAACCCTCGCTGCAACACTTAATAAATTAACTGACCATACCCAGGCGACTTGTTTACCACGTCATCAAATTGCAAAAACAAACCACCGTCAATGAATACGAGTCAAATAACCCGGCCATTATAGGAAAACTTACAGGGATCAAGTTCTTCTCTTAGAAACATGTTCTCCCTCAAACATCTAAAGTAATGTACGTTGAACTCTTTCTAAAACATATTGTTTAGGGTTCCCATTTGCCATACTGTAAATTATTGTATGTTACATTGTTCCGAAGAGAAATTTTAAGGCGATAATTATTCCTCGACAGTTACATTAAGCTGGGGGTTAATTACTGATATACGAAATGCAACCGCACAATCATAAGATTCAAAAACCGAGTCCACTAGGTATTTGAAATCTGGGCAAAACTGCGGTAGACTGTTCCAATGACTGTTCAATTCACAGAACTACTGTTTTGATACAAAACTTTGGCTGCATGATTGATTGCATGATTGATAAAGCAGTCTGCCATACACAGGATATCTACAGCTCCTCGCTGCCATGAAATTCCACCGTCAGTGAATTTGTTTTGAATGTTTAGAAGCGTAAATGTGGTTTGTTCTTTGTCATAAACCTGCCGAGAAAAAATGTAATTTAAGTTAACGATGGAAATCTAAGTAAATGTCAACCAGAGTTGTTCGAGCACTGAATTCATAGAAAAAAGCCTCGTGGTTTGATAAAAAAAATCCGTTTTGGGGGTAGCTCTCGGTATCTATCAGTTCCTCTATCAATAAAATGTAAAAATAATAAGTATGAATCGACGTAGGAACGCATCGAGTATAAGCAAAATCTGCTGCAATTAACCCTTTACACCCTAACATCAGTATGCCTATTCTCCATACTGTTCTCTATACATTTGTAGGGTGCTGACAAGGAGAATTTGTTTAACAATCAAGAGCTTCTTCGGTTGGTGATCATTTCCTTTATTCTCGTGACCTTGATGTGTGATTCAGGGGTGATATGGTAAGGAGAAATTAGATGCTGGTCAAATTTAGGGCTCAAACGGTTAAAAGCAATCAGTGTACTTACTTATCAAGAATTTCCCAGAATCTGATGATGGAAGCTTTGTCTAGATGTCTTTTATTTCGGCTGATCTGAAAGCAAATTAAAAACTATTTTTAATCTTTTTCTCCTATTTTGGAATTGAAAGAGAAAAGAAAACAATACTTACAGTGAGGATATGTACGTCCCACTTCTGCACGTTGGGATCTGTTTTCATCTCGTCGTACTTGAGGTAGAAACCTTTAGCTGTAAGACAAGAAGCATCCCTCTTCAATAAAGTGAATAGTTCGAAATTGGAAGGAACAGTCGATCGTGGCTCGCATTTACTTTACATACTAATTTACTTTATATTTTTGCGCTTTCGATGCGTTGTTTTTCTTAAAATCAAATTTCTTCAGTCGCTGGTATCAATTACGGTATATCATTTGTAAATATTAGTTGTAACAGAGAACTGATTTAAGTCCTAATGCCACTTTTTAGAAAAACGTTCCACTGATGGCGTAGGTTACCGAGTTGTACCGCATTTGATTTTTTTCCTTCTTAAAATCCTCGAATGAACGATGCATTTTACTGATTAGGTGTGGCCTTTAATTCGAAGACGGCAAACAAAAACTGAGATTGTGGCGCCAAAAAAACCGCCAGCTACGAAAGCTTAGATGAAAGTTCAGGAATGTATAAGTATAGATGTGATGTAAAGAAACCCGAAAGCTCAATTACAATAAGGACTGAGAATAAACTGGACAGGCTTCTAGTTGCAATCCAACATTTCCACATACTTTTGATGAAGATATCAACAGGGGAGCTGTATGGCCAACCTTTGAACTGCCAGGCTGGACCTTGGACAAACACCGCTACAACACGATTCCTGGCAGATGAAAAACCAGATTTTACAGCAAAGGTCAAAGAGGCATTTGGAAAATTTTAGTTAACAAGTTCAAAAAAAAAAAACGCGAGTGACCATGTCGTGCTTAATTATGGTCTTTTATTTGATTGGTTGCGGGGAATAGCGTGAGTTTTCTAGGCTAATCAGAAGGCGTGACAAGTAAAATCAAACAGTCCCAAATTTCCGTACGGCATGAAAATTTTGCGAGTTACAATTTCTACCTGCCTCGATAAAAAAAAAAAGAAAAAGAAAACAGAAAAATTTACTTCAATCAGTCCAGCAACAAAACTCAAGGCAGGTAGGAGCAGGCTCTTTGTTTGATTTTGTTAGATTTTGTTATTTCGTTGAATTGTGGTCCAGTAGAGCAATAAGGCTTTTATGATATTGAAAACATTCCAGTGAAATGTCTCTAATTAGTGGAGTATGCTATTACTGAACGAGTAATAAAATGCCTTCGTCGTTAATGCTTTGCTGCGTAAACCTATCGTGAAAATTAGTACCTTACTGATATTTCACCTCAAAACAAAAACAAATCGTAACCTTCAAATATAAGAAATCGCCGATCCGAGAAATAAACTTCCCCTAAATTTTCAAACCTTAAGGGGTACGTTTAACACTCCATCGAAAATTTTTTGAAGGGGGGGGGGGGGGAGAAGATGGGAGGAGGGTTGACTCACCAGTCGTTGGGTTGAAGACGAGCTGGGTTGTCTATCACTCTGTAAGGTACAGTCACTGTGGTTGATGCTCCTCCTGTACCAGCCTGGGCCTGCTGAATGTCTTTCCTTCGTTGAATGAGTACTTCGTTTTCACGCCTTGCGCCCTGAGCTTTTTTCTCATCAGAACTGGTGAACCTTTAAACGGTACAGAACAAATGCTTTAAAGGCCAAGACACACTAACGACATTCCGCTGTGAGAGATCTTCACGAAAAGCTGCCTCGTGTGTGTTACTTCCTAAATGAAGCGCTTTTCGACAGAGTGTTGTAAATCCGAAACCAAAGTTATCACTATGACTAATCAGAAAGGAAAATACCTTTTAGGAGCCGATAAAACCTGAAAAAAAACAACGAAACAACCAAAGGAGGATGCGGGCGACTAAGTCATGACTGGTTTTTGTTTTGGCGCGAGTTTTCTGGACCAATTAGAGACAAAGTAAAGCAAAACCAATCCAACCTCGGATTCCTTTGACACTTAATTGAAAATTGCTTCAAGACCCATATGGAATAGTTTTCCAATTATCAGTTATGAACAGCTCTTCGATAGGTTTGGAACCATGTTTGGCAAAACGAAATCATTGCATCATTGCACTAAAGGATTCTTACTTGAAGTCCTGCAGCAAATCCTGAGCATTGTAGAGTGTAATGAGTGACGTAGTACCAGCAGGAATAATAATGATAGGCGTGCGTGATTCTGGAATTGAAAAAGATGCAGATCAAATATTAAACCCATCACACGACAAAGAAAACCAAACCGTCCGACAAGACTGAATATCAAAGAGAGGCAAGTTAGAGATTATTCTAACACATCCGAGAATTAGCTACGATATGTATAATGAAATTACTGTAGATACAGGCATCCAGCTGTTTAGAAGCTGTTTTTTCTCTCATCTGTCTAATCTAATGGACTAATTTTTTTTTTTTTTTTGGGGGGGGGGGGGGGGGAGGATTACCCAAGTTAGAAATGTCCTACTAACCCTATCAACAATATGTGAACCCTGAAGTTTTAAGCCTTACTTGCAAATTCATCTTATGCTGCATCAATAGTTATCATAACAATCCCCTCACAGGAGAAACAAACAATGAAACAAAGATATTTTTTAAAGCTCTTACCTCGTTTTGGAGGATGATTTGGCTTTTGAGGGACTGAAAATACAAAATGTCATAAATTGTTGTAAATCATGAGATTTATTAATTGTTTAATATTGTTGCATGATAATTTTCAATCACTAAGATCAAGACTAAAAGAAAATTATTCCTACCTTTGTTTCAATAAACTAAAGACATTCTATGCTTTTGATACAAATGCATTTCTAACTTTGTCTGAGTGTCTGCAGCGAGGAGAAAAGCTTAACCATTTCACTTTCAATTTTACTTTCCAAGGTCTCATTAGTAATTCTCCTTACTGTCTGACACACAGTTCTTGAGATGCTAGGTTGGAGAATTTAGTATTGGATCAACTTACAATCCCCTTGCTAATACTTAATTCTCATCACTTGTCTGCTTGATATTGTATATATTGTAAGGAGAAATTCTATCTTGGTCACTCATGGGAGTTAAAGGGTTAACCATTTCACTCTCAAGGTCTCAACAGTAATCCTCCTTACTGTCTGTCACTCAATTCTCATGATGTTAGTTCAGAGAATTTGGTTTTGGATCAACTAATAATCCTCTAATTGACATTGTCTTTAATCTCATAACTTCTCTGTTCACTATTGTATTAATATTGTAAAGAAGAAATCTATCCTCAAGCTCTGGCACAAGAGGAAATTAAGCAGCTGGTTGGGCAAAGTTTGAGTCCAATCCAGACTTTCCAATTGTTTTTTCAACTAAACTCCACTAACTGAGTGCTTACTATTTTACACTAAAGCTGTAATGGACAGTCAAAGGTTTCCAGTACTCACTAGGCCTGGGGGTCTTGCTGGGCTGTGTATGAGGAGAGGGACTGGGAAAGACTTTCTTGGGTTTCTGAACTCCTTCCTGCAAGTGATAAAAAAATGGTTAAAAACATAACTTTGGATG